AGGAAAGTTCAAGTTTTTGAATAAAAATTACTGGAATGTCGCAGTCATTCAAGAAAATTGAGCTCATACAGTGAGACAAGTATCAAAAGCCAACAGGAGTACCGTGAATGATTATCATTAGAATAATTTGTAGAATTCGTGTACCAAAAATCTCTTACTAAAGGCACAAATGTCATTGTTGAGCTCCTGCATATTCGGCACAACTCAGTTCACAATGACCCAGGATAGGAAAGGTTTTTAGACATCTTCCTTCCTTGTCCTGTAGGTTGTCATTTTTGCGACCGTATGCCACAGAAAAAGCATTAAACGAATATGAAAGGATTATTTACAGGCATAAATGCACTTATAACGAAAGATGACTTCGTGATAGAGTACCAGTTCTCGCAACAAAGACTTTCCTGCTGCCCATCTGCGGGTCCTGCCTCGGAAATAATTTTGGTCAGTGTAATGTTTGGAGACACCTTGAAAACTTGTTAGCGAGAAGTTATTCGTGAAAAATGGCGCAAAGTCGACATAAGTCAACCATTCCCGAAGAATGATTTGCTATAATTTCTCCCAAGAAATTTTTCTGTGATCTGACATAGGTGCTGAATGGAAAAAATCGCAAAATATCAGAGCTTCGAAACAATATGCGCAAACTTTCTCGATGAAGCGCTAGGGGTCTTTTGTGGCTTTCCGTTAGATTCATCGAATGTATTCTGTGAAAATGACGGAACATTTTCTTTTGGGGACCACGAAGTAAAACACTAAGTTACCTTAACACAATTATGATTTCTCACTCATAGAATGGAAATCTGCTGAACATGAGACTCGAAAAATATAAAATGCCATGCATTATCCAGCTTTCCCAGTAGTCAGCTAATGCACACAGTCAAAATCTATAGAATTTATGCCTCTCAATCGAGGCTTGCAGTTTGACTGCGCTTGAAAGTTTCCATCAGCTCGAGTCATGGAAAACCTTTTAAGTTTACCTACTGAAAGTGACTCGGAATCCTTCGACACCTTCCGTTAGAGTGCTTCCATTTTTCTGAGAGATGCAGGAATGTGTTTATTTACTACCGACGTGAATGGAAATAAGAATTGTATTCTATGCAGAGCTCGGACAGAAGTATTTACCACCGTATGAAGTGGTGTTTACCACCGTATGAAGTGGTGAGATCAAAATATTGTAATGCTCTATAGGTTAGCTTGCTCTGTCCATTCCTGAGAACTCTTTGTACGCACAAGATATCTGATTTTTTGTAGTAAATCTAAGATTGGTTGCACTACATTACACTACGATCCTCTTCTGGTATAATAGAGCTGAGGTTTTAAAGATCAAGCTTTTGAACTCGTCGCAGGTACTTCTTTGCAGGACAGCGCTAAGGGCCTGCAGCGAGCTATCCCAGTTAATCAAATCGCTTTGTAGTGTATCAGAAAAATCTTGGAGTTTAATTTTTGAATACTTAATTTTGTGTAATCATCTTGAAAATTTGGTGATCATATGTCACAGGAGAGCTTTTGAAAGAGGTGCTTCTTTCATTTCACTTTAGTTCATGTTCACATCATCACCAGTCGCAATACTTTTGGGACTCGTGAAATTTAACATGACGATATAAATGCTTTTAGTCATTTGCGAAGGTATGGTGCCGATCATTCCAGACTTACCACAAGGTGATGGCATCATCTATATGATTAATTCCTGATAAGAGAGCGACTTCAATCATACACTGAGGCAAATAAAAGAATTGCCTCATTTCTTTTGCTGGCAAATCGATACTGGTCTTCTCACCAATTTGTGCAATTTTCTGCCTTGCTTGTTGACTCATTTTATTGGGCCAGAAATTAGAATTTGTTTCACGGATCACGTTCTAGATAGGTGACCTGAAAATGAAATACTACATATTTTCCGATGTGATGGCGGGAGTTTATAGTCTTAATTTTTTTTAAATATAAGCAAAAGTGGCTCCTTTGACTACTCGCGAATCAAATTGGTGGTCACGATCGAGACTCACGTATTTCGATGTCGGCTGCGCTCGTGGAGCGGAATGGCGGAGAGGGGATTTTAAATTCAAATTTTCGAATCGCTTTCGATTTGTGGCCATCGTACTGGAGGGACGGCGATTGGAAAGTGTAAAGTCATCTCATTATCCTTGCTCGAATTGTGCACATAATTAAGAGCCTAGTTGAATCTCCTTTTTAACAAATATTCTACCACTTCATGCTAATTTGCACGGTATGCCATTGCAGAAGCAGGATGCACACAAATCCCCTCTCCAGCAAAAGCGTTGCTCCTTCCTTCTCCGCAGTGTCTTACACCTAACACCGAAAATGCCTTAAATGCGTCTTTTAATTTTAATTGTCCTCGTAGTTCCTTCGCGTGGTATTCATTCTAGCCATTAAATGCCTGAAAGGCTTGGCTTCGAGGGAATACTTGGTTGAAGGTAGAAAACGACAAGACAGACGTCATGCGTGTCATTTTAAGGACGATGAGAACTATTCCGTAAAGCCACCTAGATTCAGTTTGTCTCGTTCCTTTTTATAGCGTTTCTACAGGGGCAATCCGTGCGAAAGGATGGGTAATGCGCAAGGCATGGTCAAATCCTCTGCGACACGTCAAATGTGAGTTGCACGTAGTGCACTGTCGTCAGGATTGGAAGAAAATTTGCACGGATTTCCCCTTTCGTAACCATTTCATATCGAGACTGTGATTTATTTCATTGTGGAAATCATCACGATCATACCCACGTGTGTATTGCCTTACTCTGACGTGATGATTTATTTACTAATATGGATTTTCTATTGAATTCTATAAGTGCGGATAAGCAACAAGAGCGAAAGCCCACCGTAGGTCGCAAAGCCGTAAATACCGATGGAAAAGTTGTTCAAATCGCTGCAGCAGCGGCTGTTATAGACAGTGACCACTGCAATCAACCGCGTTCGCACCAACAGCAGCGTACAGCTATCAAGGTCACCTCGGAGGCATCCAAACCTGCCGCCAAAGGTGGAGCCGGAGGCACTAGTCCAGGACACAAAGTCACAGTTGCGTCCACTTCGGGCTCGAGTGGCTATGTGACAGCAGGAATCAGAGACATCAAGTCAAAGTACGATATAGACCCCCGAGAGATTGGGCATGGCCACTATGGAGTTGTTCGCAAAGCAAAAAACCGAGAGACAGGGGAAGCATTTGCCATCAAGTCTATCCGTAAGGCTAAAGTCAGTCGGCTTGACTCATTGCGCCGAGAGATTGACATTTTACAGGCAGTTGATCACCCGCAGATCATCAAGCTGGTGGACGTGTATGAAGATGACAAATTCTTACATTTAGTGACGGAGCTTTGCACAGGCGGCGAGATGTTTGATCGCATCATCGCAAAGACTAAGTCGGCTGAAGGTCACTATTCTGAGAAAGACGCTGCCGTTATCATGCGCAAGATTTTAGATGCCATTGATTACTGCCACACGGTGCATAATATCTGCCACCGTGACTTGAAGCCCGAAAACTTCCTCTTCAAAACCGAGGACCCCTCTGCTGAACTGAAAATAATTGACTTCGGGCTTTCTCGCTTCGAGGACGACCAAAAATACATGACCACTCGCGTGGGAACACCTTACTGTAAGTATTCCCATGTGGGCGGCGGACTCGATTAGGCGTTACTGTCGTCTGTCGTCTGCTTTAAAGTACCCGTATCATAGAATCGTCAATACTCCTTCCTGCTCTTTTACGTAGTGAGAAATGACCCCCTTGTGGTAAATTCATACCCTTTTTTAGCCTTCTCCATTCTTTTCTTGCCATTCCTCTTTTTATGGACAGACATTGCACCTGAGGTGTTAAATCGCATGTATGACAAGTCTTGCGATCTGTGGTCCATCGGCGTCATTATGTACATCCTGCTTTGTGGCTACCCTCCCTTCTACGGTGATACTGACGCCGATATTTTCGCATCGGTGCGGCGCGCCGAGTTCACTTTTCCAAGCCCGGAGTGGGACGACATTTCCCCCAGCGCCAAGGATCTCATCCGCAAATTGCTGAGTAAAGACCCGCGAAAACGACCTTCGGCTGCCGCTGCTTTGAATCACGAGTGGTTTCAGGTATTAAAAAAGGACGGAGAGATTACACAGGCCCTGACAGAGCACCTTCGCAACAGCCTACGTCGGTTCATCGGCATGAATAAGCTCAAGCGCGTTGCCCTGACGATCATCGCCGAGCAGGTGGCGGAGGCCGACGTGGCGCACGTGCAGAAAGCCTTCGAGGCTCTGGACACGAATAAAGACGGCGTGATTACCGTGGCTGAGTTGCAGCAGGCGGCCGAGCAGGAGGGCCTTACTAATGTAAAGGAGCAGGTCGCGCGCCTCATGCACGGGGTGGACGTGAACGAGAACACCGCCATCGACTACAACGAGTTCCTCGCAGCGACGATGGAGCGCTCTGTGTACGTGCGTGACGAACACATCCGGCGTGCCTTTCAGCATTTTGATCAGGACATGGACGGACACATCACCGTGCAAGACCTGGTGGAGGCGCTCGGCACGGAGGAGAACGCGCGTGAGGTGCTTGGCGATATCGATCGCAACGGAGATGGCGTTATCAGCTTGGATGAGTTTAAAAACATGATGGAGGCGGCTGGCAGCTCCTCTTTCTCGCGTCACCTCGACGGCAAGTAGAGGCGCTGCACAATCCCAGCGGCCGCTTTCGCGCATTTATGCCCGGTAGTGTGCCTTGCCTATGGGGTCGAAAGGACATCGACAGGCGCAATCATGATTTAGGCCTGGGGGCGAAAATGAGGTGAAAGAGCGAGCATACGGAGGAGCAAGAGGGAACTATCACGACACCTAATAAAAAGCAGAGTTTCCTCAGTACTTATGTGTGCAAATGAGAGACAATTACACCTCTATCGAGACACTTATCATAGTAAAAGTCAAATACATTTTGAATCTAGAAGATACGACCGTCTCATTTATTTCGGGTAGTATACTAGCCTTTTATCCACACCGATTTATGCTTTGAAATTCATCCTTTGGCAGGCTGTCAACACAGCTCGAAGTTGCTCGGCACCAGCCTCCTTCATCGTTATTTTATTGCGTTCGTATATGCAAGCTGGATCTCCGAGGTAACCTCCTAGAGCTCTAGAGACCTCAACCTCACGCAATAAATGCAAAATTGGTAATGGACTTCGATTTGTAAAATTCTCTACATCATCCCCTGTTGAGTCTTCAAAAGCGAAGTCGGGATGGAAAGAGGCCACTTGAACCTTTCCTCGGAGGTCAAGTTCATCAAGACACTCGTCCACCACGGCCACCAAATCCAAAAAGTCCTGAAAATCACTAAGCAACGGCCCCGGTACTCCAATTAACGTCGTCAGGTTCTGGTCCTCAGGTCTTTCCGACATGCTTGCCAGAAGTGAGGCTTCTTCAACCACGTTCTCCAAGAGCCCGTGCAGGCTGGACGACACCGGAGCCACGACAATTTTTAATTCATTGGCTTTCAATGCAGGCGATGCCCAGGGACAAAGTTTGAAATCGATTACCATACTTTGTACCCAATTTAGTATTGTGTGGCGGTGCACCTCGGACGGATTCACAAAAGACGGTGGATCCGAGCTTGCATGCTGTTCCGCTTTACTAACTGGTAGGTCCCCGTCTTCAAGTTGCGCTCGGGCGCGCAGCAATTGCATGCGCTCTATTGGAGATAGCGCATCGGGGAACATTTTGCCCTTCGCTTCCTGTCTCTTTGCACTGGAGCTCGATAGCGTTGCTGAGCAGGCTGGCTGAGGGCTGGGACGGCGACTGTGCGTCAAAAAGCGCGTCAACGAGGACGCGGGAGCTGCCCGCTTTGTCCAACCCATGAAGAAACAAGAACACCCAGCATTGGAGGCTGCCACAGTGGCCGTGAGCATCAAATGTCTCAACATCATTCCCCTGCATATCCGTCAAAATGTGATGAGAGACAAAGTGTGGGTAAAGTTTCACTTCGCGCGTCCTCCGGGTAGGCACCAGCAAGCGCCCGGTGGCGTCTCTCTCGTCGAGGTTGCCTGATCATCGACACGACCGACCTGGATGACTGTGTCAAAATGCAAGGCATCCAGACACAAATGCCACCTAAGTGGTAACTACACCCATCGGTAAAATGGTACTGTGGTACAAGAAGTTTGAAGTTATTGAAGGTATACATACGCGTATGAAAACACCTATTTTACAATGTGCAGCAGCAATAGAGCACGGCTGACCAACACGGCAAGGACGGTGTACCTACGAAAAATAAATCATTTGCGCATAAGGCTGTTTAAATGTAGGACGTCTCGGAAGCCAAGCGAGGAAGTCCGATAACACAAATTTACCTTTGTACATGAGAACAAGATAATCACTTTACTCAATAAGTAAGGGTGCTGCAGCATTCCCAGGTTCACCATAAGATGAGTGAAGACTTTCAATTTATTGATACATATACAGCGAAGGTACGGAATAAGCTCGGGTACATCAAAGTGGACTTGCGCAAAAGATCTTAGGTGTACTGCCTCCTCGACGTTCTTTAGCTTCGTCTTCTCTGGACTCTGAAGCTAAAATCGCCTTGCTTCAATAAATGAAGGAACAGTTCATTCTTCCATGGAGCACATTAAGCTTCTTCCAAAAAGGAGTAAAAAGGGTTCTAGTCTGTTAGGTTATTCGTTTCCAATATTTCTAGCCTAACGCACAAATCAGTTCAAATTTTCAGATTAGTCATCACGCAAAACAAACACACTGTCGCTTCCGGAGATGTAAAGCTTCGCTGCCTAATTGCCACAGCTGCCAAATCGTCAAGGCCATATTCCCGCGCTTTTGCACGCCCCTTCCAGCAAAATGTTCACACACGACGACGTATTTTCCCAGTATTACAACAGCATCAGCGGCTTTAATGTGCTGTTCCTTTAAAGAGGCACCAATACTAGCTCACGAGCCGTCATCACAGCCTTCGTTTCTCCCATTCCGTATTCTTTTTCCGCTTGCAGCATTTGCCTGTGAAGTCCATTGAACAGGACCCGAATTTCATCCATCGCCGAGGCCTTCCGTACGCATGTGCGATTGTAAGGTAGCGCGAACCAAATATCAAAACCTCTCAAAAGTGAGGGTAGGTAGAGTCCTGCTCTATGAATGCTCACATAACACAAAGAGCATCGTTTAAAGCTTTCCTCGAGGCAGACTAGCCTCTCCTCCAAGAATACTCTTGCACCTTTTCTTCTGATCGCATTCCTGATCGACCTCGATTCCGCCAATACTCGTTGCTGCTTTTACTTCTGCGTTTGCTATAACCCTTGCTATGCTGCGATGGCATTATGCAATCACAAAACCGTCTCCAGCACGGACTCCTCGGAGGAGGGAGACGCTACCTTTCTCAGATCCCCTAAGACCTCCGTACTACACCACCGACCCTATCGAAACGAGCCAGAGTGCCTTCACCTTCATGCATCCGTCCAACTTCAATGTAGTATTTCGTAGACAAAAAGGTTGTCGTCACTCGATGATAGTAGGGTAGGTCTTATTCGGACTCCTCATATCAGATTGCTTCGTCTCCAGGATGAAGATGATGCGCCAATAGGTAGGTCTGACGTGCTGAGTCACGACTAAATCACTCGAAAGCGCCGCATGCTGAGAGCAGCGCTAAATGGTTGCAGCAGCGGGGTGTCTGGCAAATCTCCTCCCCCCTTTCTGCAACAGACCTCGCTGTCTTAAGCCGCTCAGCGTGCCACTCCCAGTGGGCGAGGCACCCTAGTAGCACGTGGCCTGGTCGCATTTCTTGGACAACGCTTTCTAGTCAGCAGGCTATCACCCACAGCCTCTTATTGAAATAAAGTGAAGATTTCCTCCTTCTCACAATCAAACACCTCACACAAGTCTGATTTCATAGGGACGCGCGCGGGCTGAAGGGACAAGCGGGACATCGAAGAGCCGGATCTTCTCGTCTCAGGGCTCTTGAATTGTATACGCTAGCAATCACGTGGGTGAAGGCTCCGTTACACCACTACGGCCCTCGCTGGTCGAAAGTTTCTCATCACTCGATCCGGGTTTGCCACGCGGCATCGCACGGAGACTGAGGAATCGGTTCTCGAGCTTCACTCCCGCGAAGACCTGATCACCAGCCATGGGAGCGCACCTGCCAAAGAGATGGTGGACACCAGAGGTGCGAGACGAAGTGAGCCATATTTGGAGCATCCTCTGGCCAATTGCCGTGACCAATGCTCTCTTAATGGCGTTGCAAATCGAGGATCAGATCATACTGGGGCGCATCGGCGTGGACGAGCTGGCGGCCTCGGCCCTGGGAACCACCCTCTTCAATCTGGCCTGGTTTTTCTTGGCGGGAGCAGCAAGCGCTGTCGATACCTTAGTGGCCCAAGCATTTGGCGCTCGTGACTATGAGGCATGTGAGTACTGGACACGGATTGGGTACTTGCTCATGACGCTCTTCTCGCTGCCCGCCATGGTCATCTTCCAGTACGGGGAGTGGGTGGTGCGTACCGTCTTCCGCCAAGAAGAGCACCTCTCGCATTTAGCAGGACGCTACACGCAACTCCTTCTGCCCGGTCTGTGGCCCCTCTGCATGTTCGTGTGCATGCAGAAGTCCATGCAGGCCCGGAACGTCCTGATGCCCTCCCTGTACGTGATGCTCCTCGCGAACCTCATCAACGTCGGCGGCAATTACCTTTTCGTCTACGCTCTGGGCATGGGTTTCACGGGCTCTCCCCTCGCCACCTCAACGAGCCGCATCCTGACATGCGCTCTGACCGGCGTGTACTACTACTCCGTGATGCCCAAGACGCGGCCCCGGGCCCTTCAAGGCCGGAGCTGCTCGGCGGACCTTCAGGGGGAGGAGCCCGGCAGTATACTGACGGACCGCGACACGGACGGCCAAGTCTGGGGGGCGGAAGTCCGGGGAGTCGGCGGGCCGGCATCCGGGTCCTTACAGCAGCCTCTCCTTTCCGAGGTTGGGTACGCGTCGTCCTCCGAACCCCCTCCCGAGCCTGCGGGAGGGGAGGCGTTCCCGGGCCGGACACCCTTTCGAGAGGCCCTCTGTCGCTTTTTGCGCCTGGCCATCCCTGGCGGCTTCATGGTGGGTCTGGAGGCCTGGTCCTTCGACTTCACCACCTCCTTCGCAGCTCAGTTCGGGACCGAAGCCCTGGACGCCCACCAGTCGATGATGTCCATCTCCGCCTTCACCTACCTGACCGTTCCATTGGCGATTTCTGTCGCAGCCTCCATTCGTGTGGGCAACCTGCTGGGCGCGCAAAGACCGGAGCAGGCAAAGCTAGCGGCGCGAATCTGTCTCTTCATCGGCGTGGCCACCATGCTTCTGTGCGGGCTAGTGCTGGTTTTGCTGCGGGGCTCGTTGGGGGAGATCTTCACTCCCGACGCAAAGGTGGCCAAGATCGTCTCTAAATTATGCCCGATCATGGCGCTGTATCAAGTCTTCGATGGATTTCAGGTCAGTCAAATAGGATCCCGGGCCCACCATATCGCCCAGGAGAGAGACGTTCCTCGGATGCCCCATGCTTCGCGATACTGTCAAAAAGGTTTGTGATCAGCATTTTACACTCTCACGTTCCTTTGCTATCGCATCTAGGGTGTTTCCGCTGGTATTCTCCGCGGGATGGGGCGACAGACGCGTGTGGCCTTGCTCAATCTCGGAGGTTTTTGGGTGCTCGGATTGCCGGGCGGGGCGATCCTAGCATTCACGTTGAGAATGGGAGTGTACGGCATATGGTGGGGTTTCGTTATGGGCCTGGCGCTCATTTCAATCCTGTACCTTTGGGCCCTCTCCCGACTCGATTTCGAGGTGGAGGCCCGGCGTGCGCTGCAAAGTGCGTGTACAGATCAGAAATTGGAGCACGCCTGGGAGCAAAGAGTAGATCACGAGAAACAGGTCAAAAGAGAAGGTGGTATTGTAGCTGTGTAAAGGTATTTCCTTTGTTATTTAAAGCGAAAAACGATGGTGACATGATAGTATAGGTAGATAAAGAAAATGCTGTACATTCGAGTGAGCAGAAAAGAAGCGCTTAACGGACGGAGTGATCTCCTTTTTTTTTTAAATGTTAAACCCTTGATAACGTTTCATAGGTCTGTAGGCGCAAGGATTACATTTCATAGATTTGTAGGCGCAAATGAATCATGTCATACAATGCTCGCTTTTCCCTTTCGACAAGACAGAGAGGTTCCTCTCGAGTGCTTCAAAATATGACCTGGGAGGTTGGACCCGCATTGACCGTCTTGCCGACGTTCTCGATCCCGGCCCACGATGCATTCAATGCTCCGCACTCATTTGCTTGTCCTTTCATTTTTTGAACTGGCGCGAGATGCTCGGGTTGAGGTGATGTAGCAAATGGCTGCGATGGGAGGGGTCCGAAGGGACGCGAAAAGTCTTTAAAGAGCACCGTCATGCTAATTAGGCCCGTGACTGCCCCCCCCTGACTGCTGTCTGCGACGCTACATGAAAGGCTTACAAGATAATTGCTGTCACTTGCGCGGCTATGCACAAGACACTCACTACCCTCGCTCGCTTCTCTCTGTCTCCTGGGCACAGGTCCTGGTATTGCGCCCTCGTCTGGTCTGCCTGACCGCCTTCCTTTTCTTCAATCCAGCGAGTTCGAGCCTTTTCATCAGAGGAGCCTCTCAACAATGAATCGAAACACCGGAACGGGTAACAATCCTGCTGGGGTGGCGGATAACCCTTTTCCCAATCAGTGGGCCTGGCAAATCGGAGCAATCACTCTCAGGGGTCAACGCGTGCCCGTCAAGCTCCATTTTCTCCTGCCCATTTTTTGGGTGTTGAGTTTACTCTCAGGCCTTGCCTACGGAGGCAAGTACATTGGCTTTCGCTTCATCGTCGACGTTCTCATCCTGTTCATGACAGTCTTTATCCATGAGATGGGTCATAGCCTGGCTGCCATCCAGTACTCGGGGAAGTGCCACTGCATCACGCTCTGGCCTCTGGGCGGCTTTGCCGAAGTCACGCACGAGAAAGGCCCAAAGGAGGACCTTTGGGTATCTTTTGCCGGACCACTTACCCACATCCCAATGTGCGCCATCTGGTATGGTATTGTGGCTGCAGTAGTGAAAAGACCGTTCAACATCATGGGTAAGCAGAGCTTCAAATTTTGATGTGAAACATGGTCCCTCAACGTTCGCATTGAAGTGTCTGAGCCAACTTCCTTGCATCCACACTCCAGTGTGCTGATTTCTCTCTTGACTGAAGCAGGTATATTAAGCCTTTTACATGTGTACACGCGTCTTCACTCATCTTTCTGTGTTCCATTCCTCCCCAGCTATACCATGTGATCTCCTACACTCGCAAGCTTGCTTCTGGACGAATGTGGCGGTGTCCGCTGGCTTTCTCAACATGTGCCTCTTCCTCTTCAACTTATTCATTCCCGCCTACCCATTGGATGCTTCCCGCATCCTCGTGGACTTCTTCGCGCTCTGCAACGTGGAGGTGAACCGCGCGGCCCTCATCACCGCCTGCATTTCCTTCCCCATTGGACTCGCGCTGCTTGGGTATGGATTATGGGCTTTCGCCCGGGGGGCTGCCAACTACACTATGACCATATTCCTGGCAATATTCATCCTCTACTCGACGTGGGGCGTCATCAAAGCCGCTCGCTCAGGAACCGCGGCCAGGCACCCCATGTTCATCCACTACTACCGGACAAGCGAGCCCCCTGTCTCCGCGACCGCAGCAAGCAGCAGCAATGCCGGGACAGCCAGCTCCACAGCTGGTGGGCAGATCACATCTCTGTGGGGCTCTGGGCTTGTGGGCACATCGGCCGCGGGGACGGGGGTGGGGGGAGAAAGCACCGGGGGGAACGTCTTGTCGAAGATGGAGGCTGGTAAGGGCCATCGGCTCGGCGGGAAGCCTGTTACCTCCTCTACGCCTGCAGGGAACCTGGCGGTAGGCGCGCGGACCACAAGCCAGTCTGCCCTGCTAACGGGCTCCTCGTCCTCGAGTGCAGCGGCAGGATCCTCCACTTTGGGGGGGGCGAGCAAAGGAGGCTATCGCCTGGGATCCAAGTAAACTTGAATTTTTGAGACGGAAGGAAAGGGCAGCAAGTACAGGTACCGACAGGCCGCAGCAAAAGAAACTTTGGACGTGTATATTACGGTCGAAGGGCGCACTAAGCCAAGTATTAGCCTAGAGATCCGGACAGGAGCAAAGTCACGAAAGAGAATGCGCAAACAGGAGGCATGAGCATAGGGACGTCGAACATACCTATTCTTGGGTTCTTTCCTTTATGTGTTGCTCTGTCCACCTCGTTTATACAAAACCGCAACGTTCTTCTCCTGCCCGCGCCTTTTTGCCACGATCGCGCATCGAGCCTCTCTTCCAGCAGGGATAAACACACCCCTCTCCATCTCCTCCCCAACCTCTCCCTCACCAAGCCGCTCACCCCAGTCCGAAGCCACTCACAGCAGTGTGATCCTCGCCTTGACAAGTCGCCAACTTGGCCCCCTCTACTTGTGGAGCCTTGCGTCCGGAACACATCTTCTGGGAGCAGCCTCCCCGTACAAGCCTCTCCCACACTGATTGTTCCTCCAGAACTCTTTCTCGCACTTCTTTGCCCTGAAATCCATCCTCCATCGACACGTAAGCGCGGCGGTCGCTTCCCCGGAGCTCTCCAAGCCCCACGCAAGCGCCCTCCTTCCTCCATTCCGGGTGGACCGCATATTTCCCTTCCCGTTCTCTTCACCTAACATCTTCCTTGTCACTTTCACGGGTGTCTAAGCCCCCCCAAGACCCCTCGTAAGACACGCATCCTGTCTGTCCCACCCCCAAAGCGATGGTTCCCCCAGTCGGGCCACATCGCGGTCCCCCCCTTCGCTCCTCCACTCGACGACACCGGGCGCCTGCTTATCACTCGATCGTGCCACGAAGCCTTTGTCAAGCTAGGTAGGGTCGTCTTGTCGCGACAGAATGCCTCGCCGCCGCCCTAAGGCCACACCGATCTCTGCCCTCTCCACGCCCCTGCTATCCAGTCCGATCGCTCCCCCCTTCTCCCGCGCGACGTCTTCCCCCACCTTGCATCCGGCTTCCCCCATCGCACCCGTATCCATCGCCCGGCCGTCCTGCTCCTTCCTCATCGCTCCATCCCCCTCTGCGCCGGGTCCCTTGGCGCCGGCCTGCTCGTCTTGCTGCTGCTGTCGGCTCCGCTCTTGCTGCATGTTCAGGATGGTCCAGTCGAACATGGCGTCGTCTGCGAAGCCCTTGCGAAGGAAGAGCTCTGAGAAGAGCCGCTTGAGATAGGAGTAGTCAGGACGATCGTCAAAACGCAGGGCGCGGCAGTATTCAAAGTATGACCGGAACTCGGAGGGGAAGCCTTTACAAAGCTGCTCGGGCGATGTAGCCATCTTACGCTCCAGGATGCGCTCGTATTTCTGCTTCTTTGTGTGCGCTTTCAGCCCCTGCCAGGGCAAGGACCCGCGCAAAAAGTACATGACTACGTAGCCCAAGGACTCGAGGTCGTCTCGGCGGGATTGTTCGATGCCGATGTGCGTATTGATGGATGCGTACCGCGCCGTGCCCGTCAGGTTTTTGTGTTCGCGGTAGATGATGTGCTTGTGGGTGCGGGGGTCCCGGTACCGCTTGGCCAGCCCGAAGTCGATGATGTAGACCGTGTTGTGGTGCCGACCCAGTCCGATGAGGAAATTGTCTGGCTTCACGTCTCGGTGTATGAAGCTCTTCGTATGGAGGAATTCCAGGCGGGAGAGCAGCTGCTGCGCTAGGAGAAGGACAGTTTTCAGGTTGAAACGGCGGCCGCAGTAATTAAAAAGGTCCTCCAGCGAGGGTCCCAGCAAGTCCAAGACCATGACATTATAATCTCCCTCCACCCCGAACCAGCGGACGTTTGGTATGCCTACGCCCCCATACAGGATCCGGTAGATCTTGGACTCGTACAGAAGCTGCGGGTGCTTCGTCTTCACCGACTCCAGTTTGATGGCCACCTCTTCCCCTGTCGTCACGTTCACTCCCAAGTATATGTCCCCGAACGAGCCCGATCCAATTTTTCGGCTCAGCCGGTACTTTTTGTTAACGCGCAGGTCCATGCCTGCCTTCCTGGTGCCCGGGGCCGAGCCACTGCCCGAGGATCCGCTCCCAGTGCCCGCCGCTGCCCCGCGACCGCTGGGTACTCCCACTCTCCGCGCGCCAGAGGTCGGCGCAGCGCCTGCGTGCTGGGATGACGAGGCTGGTGCCAATGCCTGGGTCTGCAGCGGTCGACTGTCGCTGGCTCCCAAGAGTCCAGAGACAAGCCCGTGAGGGAGATCCAACTGCTGCGCCGCCTGCGGATACACGGGCTGGTCCTCTATGGTTGCTGGCGCGCGAATTTACTGGGTGCACCCCTAATAATTGAGTCAAGAATTCCTCAAGGAATGTTTTTCTTGCTCACCACCAGGACGCTGGCAAGACCAGGGGCCTCCCTCTCCTCTCAAGCGCGCTCAGGTTCCTTTGGAAGGGCTGCTCTTCCCTTCTGCGACTCCCGCGAACGAGGGACCCTGGTCATAGATATGTGGCAGTAGAAATGTCCGTCAGAAGGATTACGTGGTCTGAAGGCTTCAGAAAACCAAGGTGACTTTGCTTTGTCAAAATCACGGCAAAGCTTGCAGCATCTTCTTCCAATCATGGTCGCGATTCCGCGCCGGAATATCAAAGTTACGCGTGCTCCGTTATCCGCATCATTTTTCTTAATCGCATGAGGTACGTCTTGGAAAGGGGAAGAGGGCATCCGTGAATTTGACACAAAAACCCTCAAAAGGCCAGACCGCGGAGGTGACCAAGCAAGGGCTGGACCCCCTCGTTCTTTCAAAGGTCGCATCCTGCCTGCGTCGCCGCACTCTTGCCTGTAAGGGTATGGCCCACAGCCGCCACATTCGTACAAAAGAAGCGTTTCTCGGCAACGTCTCCCCGTGGTACACGGCTGATAGGAGAGAGCTCTTCATAGGTAGAGGACAGGGCAGAATGATGACGGGGAGCACGGAGCCCCAGGCTCGAGAACAAGAAGCGGAAGGCTTCCAGGGAAAATCTTTGCCACAACACACGCCTCAAGGACATCGATCGTCCCCCGAAACACGTCGTCGGGCACGCACATACCTTTGACAGAAATTCGTGTTTCCTCAAGCAAGGTGCCAGTCCGCACTACCACCACATGGCACGTCTCTCTGGACGGGCTGGTATCCAGCCTCTGACCACGCCTCCCTCCCCCCGGCGGCTCGCGCCGAGCCCCAACATCGCTAATTCCCGATTACTTGACTCACTTAAAAAGGCGCATACATACAGCAGAGTGGGACACTGGGGCAGGGCCATGCGTGATGGCGTTTAATTCGTTGAATGTGTGTGATGGAGAGGAAATGGAGGCCGGAGTGGTAAGTGCGCGGGGACTGCTAAAGGGCCGGGAGTAGTCGGTGGGGTGTACTCGGAGTGTACATTCCTCCTCTCGCATTTCATCAATATCATTTCTATGATTTTCGACTCATTTCATGATGTCCATTCCATGCAGCTGCGTAAATCATTCTGGTGGACACCTGGCAAATGCGCTTGTAGTATCTGGAACGATATGTGCGTCACAAGCGGACTCGAAAACGCCACATTGGTAGCATGCACATGATGGGATCGGACGCGGCTTTAGCCTCTCAGACCTTACTTATTACGCGCATACCTGAATCCTGGACCCGAATATCTCATCAGCTCAGCTCAAGGAGGTGCAGGGCGCAGGTGGTCGTAGCCGCAACGGAGTAGGAGGAGGCAGAGGCTTGAGGTACGTGAAGCGATTACCGATGATGGATGCTGCGCGTTGAAGGCAGTATCCTGGAGACCAAACGGACGGGTGATTTACGCCTAAGCCCGCATTTCGGCTTTGTGGAGCTCTGGGATCGCGTGAGGGTCACGGGCTTTGCAGGCGCGGGTCGGAGCTCGGCAGGCCAGGTAGAGAAATGCGAAATGGAGGTAAAGGGGGGCAGAACACCTCCTTCCCCCCGGGGCATTACTCGGCGCCTGAGGCCTCAGTCATGGACTTCAAGGTCCCACCTGCGGTGGAGGCGTGGCGGGAGGGCGAAAACTCGTGGCAATTCCGGCCCAAGGTCTTCAACGTGGCGGGCGGGGCGGGCAGGGGGGCCTTGGAGGCATGCTGGGAGGCCTCGGAGGCGGGAGGATGCGAACAAATGGGGGAAGGGAGGAGGCTCGGATGGTAGTGACTGGTCGCTGGAGAGAGGAAGATCGACCTGGGGGTAGGTGACGGCGAGGGAAGAGGGAGTGGTCCGGCGTAGAGGCGTGGCCGAGAACCCAAGGAAAGCTCTGGCTTGCATGGAAGCGGAGGAGAAAATAGTACGAGTTTTTTGAAATGGACGCGCTCGCGCACAAGAACAGGCGCTTCGCGAAGTGGGAGGGGCGGCGGATGGAAGACGAAGGGGACGGGACGTAACAACCTCACGGTGGCTGGATCAGGCTTTGCGCATTAATTTCTAGCAGCGCTCGAACAAATGCGGCGGAAGAATTTGAAGAACAATGCTTCTACAGAAGGGAGTCCGGGGCAATGAGAAATGAGGTTGAAAAGCGGACAGACAACGTTGAACGTATCCGAGAAATACACGCCCGACACATGACGGTCTACTCCTCGTCGCTTTCTTACTTTCCATGTTCTTTTCCCTTCAATTCTTTGTCTCTATCCGGCTCTCTAAGTCTTCAACCCTCCCGACACGAGGAGGCCCGGGGCATCTGCAAGCCTCCTCAGTGCCCATCAACATGGCCGCCTGCCCCGCCTTCCTCTCCGCGTTCCATGAGGGCACGTTGCTTCTCGATGGCTCGCACGCGAGCATACTGTGTTAAAGGAGTACCAAAGGCAGAAGTCAGCGTGCGCAGCGTCATCATGGCCGGCCATCCGGACGCGGAAAGCGGGATGGTCCTGGAATTAGCTCCAAGCGCAGCGCGTTTAAGACTGGCACGTTGGTTTCTGTATGCACCAGTCAAGACCAGTAACCTACCTCTTTCCGGTGGTGAAGACACTCCTCGTAGTCGTCTCGAAAATCCATGCACTCCTTAAAGTGGTCGGCGGTTGCCTAATGGAGGTGACACAAGCGCCGCGATTCAGTCAGATGTACGAAGAAAATGAAGAAGACCAGACAGCTTCTCATGCACAACTTACCAAACACTTTTCGAAGGCGGACCAAAAAGGGTAGCACCGCCCTACGTTCCCTTTGACACCAAAGCCAGATGACTGGGATTTCATTTGAGGGATGAAAAAGGAAAGCGAGGTTGGAAGCAGTTCGGGGCCGATTCAGTCAAAGGAGTACATCAAACATCATGCGTTCTTCGATTCATTAAGGGGTGAGGATCTACAAAGAGTTGTGTGCACCAGTCACGAGCCATTTGATTATCTTTCATAAGCCTATGCTTACCATGTTTACCGGGGACCGATGTCTCACAGGAAACAGAGGCGGCGAATAGCGAGAGACCCTCCTCGACGACTCCGCCGAGACAAAGCGAGGGACGGTGTTCCTCTGTGATCGAAAAAGGAGAAGAAAATCGTGAATGGTTCGTTTGAATGGTCTTGTAGCTTCTGCCTCCGTTGTATCTGGCTAGGAATGACATGGTGTAGTCCGGGTGCTAGGGTAGGAATGCGTACACAGATTGCGTGGAGATAGCAGGCGGAGGAGCAGGATAAGGAAATGCGGCAGGGGAAGGCGAGGCCGAGCCATGCAGAGATGCTTGACGCGGAAGAGATAGGGTTTAAAAAGAGTCTGAGAATGATGGCGTTGATGGTTTGTCCTGAACGTTGTTCTCGCGCCGCACAAGCGCGTCACACGGGGCAGGCACCGGCTTCTCTCTCGCCCCCCTTCCGCTCACGCTCATTGGTATCAGCGTTCTCGCTTCTCACCGCAGACGCAATTTAGTCCGGGCACGCGGACGACGCGCCTTCATCAGTCTAGAAAAATCCACGAACATCTTCGACCAGTCAAGTGATGGTAAGTGTCGTGCATCGTGCGCCGCTTCCCCTCGATACTCTGTGAACGGTCATCTATGTGCTCGCCCTAGAGTCCCAGATCAGATGCTTTTAGAATTTAGCATACTGGCGCGTGTGACTTTGTCGGCGTTCCTCTCCTACTACCTCTCTCAATGGTTTGTCCCATAATTTGCTGTTCGCGGTATACTTCGTGTTCTTGTCATCATAAGAAGTAGTTCCCTCTGCGGGGAGAGCCAACCTCATGACTTGAAAGCGTAAAGTGCATTCATCGCATTCTTTCCATCCCATTTGCCTGTAATTTCTGATCAGTACATGAATGCTCTGTTCCTGCGTCTTGCGATAAGGGTATGGATTTCATCATGGCGAGTCTCGAAATTTTTCGTCAGTTCCATGCCCTGTGAATTCGTATTATCGGCGCTGCTGTTGAGAGTAAGCGGCTTGTCCAGTGAATGAACTTCTGTTGCCGTCCCACTCAGACCAGCGTGAGGCGGTCAATCACTTATCTCCACCGCTTCTTCTCGTACGTTCTATCCTTCTTTCATGCACAATAGAACCCACTGCAGCACAGTATTACGGAGCGAACTACCACATCAGACAAAGCAGATGCCGCATTCGAAAATCACATAAATGCTTTCTTGGCAAAAAAGGCCGGTGTTCTTAATTTAGCGCACATAGATATCGGTGAGAAACTTCCCGAACGGGCGAAGAGGATGGCAGGTGTGGCTACGTCCGTGTACTTCGAACCCTACTTTGCCGCAACAAGCTCTGGCGTAGGCAGCCTGGCAGCCCGCGCCAATAGCATCGATGCCGGCCTCGCGTACTGCAAGAAAGTCAAAGAGGCGACAGCATCCTCGGTGAAAGTTGAAAAATGAGGATTTCATCCAGATCATGAAGGAGATGGAAATGTAAAAAAGGAATTGAATGGAGGAAGGGCTCTTGTCATGTGCATGTGTGTGACATAAGAGGGCGTGAGACGTACAAGGTTACTACTACTTTGTGCATGTGTGTGACATAAGAGGACGTGAGACGCACAAGCTTACTACTACTTTGTCCATTTTTGGCTCCGCGATAGGCGTGAAGTGATCCCTGCCAAAACTAAAGAACAAGATCAATCATTCATACAAAGTAAGCCTTCTTGTAATAATGGGTAGTGTGTCAACGATGCGTCGTCTTTAGGCTACGTTCCTAAGCCGTTCGGCGAGAGGAGGGATCACCCCTAGTAGACGATGGGAAGTCTCCCTGTCTAATGGACTGAGTGACACGTATGCGGTGATCTCATCTCAAAAGAAAACCCGACAAGGAGCAGTGATGTCCAGTTTGCTCCCCCGAGTGTCGCCACTGTCCGGGGGACCCTGATGAAGACGGCGTGAAAGCAGGGGGACGGAGCCGAGGCAGCTGCCTCGCTGACACGGTGGACATAAATGGCCCGTTCCACGTTGTACTCTTTCCTGGAATGCGTGTCGCAAGAATTGAATAAGGCGCATCTCCCTTCATCACGAATCTTTCCATACCGTGATCCTGACGGATCTCACATTTCACACACCTCAGGAAAGTCCGCCACAATTATTGCCGCCATTTTCGCCAGGAAGTGCTGAAACTCAAAGACGCGTCATTCGCTCCCGTGGGCCTTATAACCCTTTGTGGCACGCTAAATAATGCACACTCCGAGCCATGTAAAGTTGAGCGTCGCCATATGCGCCATGAGCGTACTCTTTCCTGTACAGGATGTGTCGGCTTTCCTGACTCCTGCAGCAAGTGGGCATCGGAACCCCCCCCTTGCTCCGAGAAGTCCGACGTCAGACCCAACTGCCTTGGCAGTCAGCACTGAAGGCGACCCTGACCGCTGCAAGATCCGGAACGATGTGGAACAGCAATTTAATCGCAAGGATGCCGTGCGTTCCTTGAATGCATGGACCCTCGGAGCCACGGCAGGGGCCACTTGGGCGGCATTGACCATGGGGGGCTCAAGGGCAAACTCTCCAAGTGTCCCCGACTTGGCGCCGATGGCTGCGTCTTCAAGCGATGGCCCGGTAGAAGGTGCAGTTGTGCGGAAATCAGTACCGGAACTGAGGTTTGAAATGCTGAAAAAGGGGTTGGACCTGACGCATGCGTTTCAGTTCGAAGAGGCGGAGGACGTTTACACAGAGCTGATAGGGCTCTTCGACAGCGACTACACAAGTTTGAGCGATCAGGAGAAGCAGCTGGTGGCAAAGTACGTAGTAGAAGTCCACGCAAGAGGAGTATAAAGAAGTCGTGCATTTAAGGAATGTTCTCAGGCCTGTCGAGTAGGAGCAACGACAGGAGGTGAAGCACTTGCAGCTATCCTCTTAGGCCAGAAGGAGAGTGTTACAAGGACGCACGGTATTGCGCTGCCGGTGGCCAAGAAACTGGATGAGTTTTAAAAACCACGCTAATTTCTCATGTATTCTCCATTCGTATGTGCGCAGAGCGTTCTCGAATCGAGGCAATGTCCGCTGCTCCTTGACGCGAGTCAGCGAGGCGCTGCTAGACTACAGCCGAAGCATTGAGCTGTGTCCTGACACGGCCGAGTACTGGACAAACCGGGGCTTGGCCTTCGAAGTGATAGGTGAGTAGCTCGTGTGCTTCTTAGTGTTGACCGGCGTCGCATGCTGTTGCTTTTTCAACTCGAGTGGCTGCTTGGTCTGACAAGCGAGGTCCCCCCTCCCCAATCAAATACCTCTGGATTCTTGCCCTTTTTCTACTCTGACGACTGTCATACTTGCGAACAGCGGACGCACTTCTTGCAACACGGGAAAAGGACGCATTCCAATTCTATGAGACGGCCATCGCCGACTACGAGCACGCACTGGTCATGGACCCCGAGAACCACCGGCTCTACCTTAATGCTGGCGACGTGCTCACACGCACCCGTCGGCATGACCTTGCATTGGAGTACTATCGCAGAGGTATGTGGATAAATTTAAGTTTTAAAATTGTCCCTTAAAGCGAAACATGCAGGCTTCCTTTGTTCCTGCTTCATTTTCCCCTTGAGCCATATCATGCCTCCTTCATTTGAACATCTTCAAGCTGATGATTTTAAGATACATATTATGTGTCATAATACAGCCCTTGCCTTGTTTCCCATGTCTCCGGCGAGTCGCGGCAAGGTGGCGTTGCTGGAGGTGGAGAACGGTAATGTTGGGCGAGGCATGTACATGCTTGAGTCCATCAATCGACGGTAAGTCTAAAACGTAGGCAAAATCGAAAGGAAAAGAAATGGGGTACGCTTTGATTCACAAAAAAGTTTCTTGTTTGAAAATTACTTAGATGGCCTTGAAGGTGACATACCAGTGCGGGAAGAATTTCGATTTTTCATGAATTTAGCATGTGTGCTTTGACTGTGATACATGACCTCTAATTGTATTTTATCGGCGCTTCTATCCTCCATGTCTGCAGTAATCCGGACTTTGCGGAAATGCTTCTTGCATCAGCTGCCTTGGATTGGACTCTCGGCCGATTTGTCGAAGGCGTGGATTCGTATCGTGAAGCAGTGTCGCGTGATCCGCGACTGTTCGACGACTCGTACTTAAAGATGGATTGTCACTGGCCTCCGACCATGTTAAAAATGCTGGACAAGCTCCGAGAAGCTGGCACCATTGAAGGGCTGCGGTCTACTGCGGTGTCTTGGTTCGACAGTCGAGGAGACATTATTTGAGTGTCCTAGACAAAGTGAAGGCGCTGATTGAGTCACCTTTCCTGATCGGTCTGAAGACGTTGTTTGGACGTTGTTTGAAGACCATGAATATTGGCAGCTACAGAAACATGATTTGCGCAGAATGTAAATATACGCGGGTGCGGAATTCGAAGTGTGATTATGTGTAAACGCTTTCTTCAGCGTCAGCTCACCGCTGGCTTAGACTAGCTACTTTCTTTCACAGAAAGTATTCGACATGTAACAAGCATGAAAAATGTCTATAAGGTCGTGACAATGCAAATGTGTAGTTACCGATATGTTTTTACAAACTTCCAGGATTCTTGTATCTCTAATTTTTTTTGCAGATTTTTTTCAAGAAACGATCTCAGGCAAAACTTGTGGACAGAATTCTCTTCACGAGAAAAGAAGCTACCCCGCCGGTGATTTTTTTGAAGAACGAACAAATTTGTCGCCGAGTCCTTGCTGGAGTTAAGTCGTCCCTGAATAGAGGCCAAACAAAAACTGCGAAATGTACATCTGATGTGAAGTAATTATCTGAAATGTAGAAGGCAGCACCAGCAACCGGGAATGATACGCTTTTGCATTTTAGAGAAATTGTTCGGGTGTTCTGCTATCAAAATTGCCCTCCTCATGATGTTTCTTTTTTTCCAACAACTAAAATGTAAAGAAAAGATTATTGATGCTTTTAAACTTTATTTCTCCAATGGTATTTGCTTTCTCTCCTTGGACTCTGAAAATGCTTTGCGCATACTGGATTTCCACTCGCCAATTTACTTCCTCATTTATTTTTGTTCATGGCTCGTGGGCGTCTTTCATACTGAATGTACCATGGACCAGTATCCCAATTTTCTTAGTCTTGCATTACAGTTCAGCTAGGATCCTACTTACGCTACCGCTGGCGTGCTCGCCGCGATGGATGACGTCGCAAGGTCCTTTGTGTTAAATAAGATTTCTTCCTCCGCCTCAGGTGGTGTATTGCCGTCCTCCTGCGCGGATTCAACATCTGCACAACCAGCTGCGACAGATTGTACCGCAGACATTTCTGCTTCTTTCTCTGCTTTAATTTCACGAACATATTTGCGGCCGAACCAAGCGCCACACACTAGGACCAGAAAGATACATGTAATGCCAACGATCTCCAAAATTTGTGAACCCTCGCTTTTGGCCTTAAATATATCCTTGGGGTCCTGAAGCTTAGCTCCCAAATCCGTCAAAATCCAAGACAGAGGTGCCATTATTACGATAGCACAAGAAAAGAAGGGTATCGGTGGGTCTTCAATTGCGCCCAAACCGTAGCTTTTCACGGCTGCCGGAATTGCAGCCAATCGTATTAATACATTACTTTGCCAAGGTCTTTCTTCTACAAGTCTAACCATCGCAGCGAGCCACACATACTCTTTAAAAAAGTATGTCACAAGCAGATCTCGGAAAAGGTATCGGCCAGCCAGATAAGCACAGATTGTGGCTAGAAGTTTTACAACGTACGCCATGGCGAGGCCCTGTCTCGAGCCATAAACGAAGCCGCTTATCAAGTCGATCAGGTTTGCGCTTCCACCGATCATAAGGAACGCCCAACTTACGATACCATAGACTACTAATCCATTTAGACCCTGCCTTTTAAGCCATCTCTCGCTGTCCATGATAGGTTGGCGAAGTACAGTCGCACTGAGGACAGCAAACGTTACCAAGAAGAGGATAAAGATCCATATTCGCGCTTTAGAAGTCCAAGATTTTGTGGGGGGTTCAGATTTTAGCTGTGGAAAGGAATAGTAGCCGGGCTTCTGTTTAATTTGGTCGCTGGGCGCATTCGCATCGTCGCTTGCCGCAGAAGTTCCGTTGGACGATATAACATTATCCTCATTTCCTGGGTGGTCCATAACTCTTATAAGTCAGCCAAAATTTTAGATCGTGCGAAAATGGGAATAAGTCAGATTCGAGGATCATGCACTTCATTTGGGTTTTACGCGCAAAGCTTTGCAATAGGATCGGTGCGTTCTCTTCGTGTTCGAGGAGTGTCGGTTCGCTCCCCGGTTCAAAATTTTAACGGCTAGCGAGATGGCGGGGATATTGTACACGGAGCATCGCTGCTTAGGGTGTACAATGATTTCAACTTGTCAAATTTGCATTGCTCGCTTGACACTGGTATAATGGGGTCAAATTTTCGAAGGGGTTCATTAAACGATCGTATGAGTCTGCTGCTCCGAAAGCTTTATAGTTTCGTTTAAATGGAGCCACGTGATGATTATAATAATGTGAGAGGACTTATTCCCTGCGAGAGCGATTGAATGAGACATTCACCCACTCAATTTTTACTAACATCCAACAATGCTGACCAGTTAGTCGAATAATGAGTGGGCTGCCAGAATTGGCTTCTAAATGTTCAATTTCTAGTAAAGAGCCATGAATATAATTACTATCTCATGACTCCCAGATGACGTATTCCGTTGTACTTACTTTTTTTACCTTCAAGACTGATTAATCTAACTGATACAGAAGCTTCTTCCCCTTTCACTTGCATGCTTATCGACTAAAAATTTGCTCTTGCTTTTGAAAGGCCTTAAAAAATCACGTCGGAGCTTGACTGTGCCTTTCCCCTTCAAGTTCCCCCTGGTCCTCTCGATTTTTTGTGCGCTCTTCCCTGCGCTCTGCCGAAATGGACATGTGGCCGAGTTTCTGAGAAAGAAAGCTGGATATCCTCCTTTTTGAAGCCAGGTTACTTCTGCGTTTACTTCATAAGAAGTGTCCGTCTTCTTCACACCTACAGCGATGGATGATGCCGCTGGCACACTCATGACAAGTCGCTTCCACAGCGAAGAAGCAGGCGGCGGCACTGAAGGTAACTCGTGAGTTTATCATCAAGTAATTCGTCCAGAAGACGATTTAATTGTCCCATGTGCCCACGTATCAAATGGTCCAACGATGAGTCCGCGAATCGATTTAGGGAAGAAGTCAGAGCGGTAGGTGCTGTTGGCACGGTAAGGCTACCCTCGGCATGACAAGGAGGACTAGTGTTATGCAAGCCTTGGAAGGCATTTGCCACAGAAAATACATAAGGCGTCCTGTACGTCAAAAGGGGATGTTGAATTTCGAGGACTTATAGGCAGAGCTAAAGATTTTGCACTGTTTCCCGGTAGAAAGTAGAGTGGATTCGGTAAGGGAGAATTAAGAAAAAACGCAATTAATATTCCGATTGACACGCACATCCGGACAGTTTGTAGATTGCAAATAAGCACCGATACCAAAAATCTATTTTCGATACCTGCGGGGATTTGAGTTAACACCCATTCGTCCAGCAAGCGTGTGATGCGGGCAGGCTGGGGAATAGCTTCCAGAAAGGGCACGTAGAAAGCGACCCGGAGGGCAGCCTTCCCAGGCACTTCTTGTTGCAGGCCCATGTCACTGTCTGGGAAACGTGTCCGCTCCCCCGCCTTTCCCCTTTGTTCTTGCATGCAAAGTTATAAAAAGGTTTGAGGACCTATCGTTCTCCTCATCCATTTCCCTACAGAGGCTGTCACTTTCTGCGGATCCCTCTTTCGACATACAAGCCCCGAACCTCCCCATCCGCGTGCTCACTCCTTCCCTTGTGCTGGAAAAATGCTGCCCCTTTCGTCCTTCATCTCTTCCTCTTCAATGCTAATAGCCAGGCGAAAAAGAATACCTTCTTCGCGAAGTCACTTAGATGATCATTCATCCAAACGCTTTAGATGCCCACGCTACCTCCCTGCTGCGCCTCCTCTCCCGTCCCCCTCGGTACTTTCTGAGGTTCATTCCCAAAAAAAATCACAGACATCCGACACAATTATCGAACTCCGAAATGCATTTGCACGCCAGCAAGAACTTGATGAAAAAAGGCAAGGCATAGAGGTGCGTCTCGCCGATCCCTCCATGTGCTCTCTTGTCACACGAGCACTACGTGAAACTGTGGTTCGCTCCCTCCTGAGGGACCGTGAAAAGGCCCGCGCATGCATGAAAAACCTCATGTTTGGAATCGATGGTGAGATTGTAGCTGCGCTGACGCAGCTGAGTATGGTGCAAAGCTCGCAACAAGAGCTCCTTCAACGGTGTGAAGACGTCTTGGCTTTTGAACCCTTGGTCTCTAAATTGGAGACCTATGCCCGTGACCGTAACTTCCCTCAAGACTGTACGTCGTACTGTCTTGATCTAGGTATTGACTCTTGGGTGCGCATTAAAAGCACTCAGATCATCGTTTCTCTGGGGGACTCTCCTCTGTTTCAACATTTTGATGGTTGCTCTTTCAACGTCACTCGCACTCTTCGTCTGGCACACCTTTCTCCCACAATGACGGGCCCAACTCTATTCAATTTATTTCAACCTGTAGCTGTTAGTGTAATCAGTGCTGAGTTCCAGAAATCTAAAATACCGGAGATGCAGGTGGTGGTCGAAGTTGGAGGCGATCCGGAAGAGCATGTTGATGCGCTTGTGGGACAAAGCAAACTATGTGAGCGAAATAAAGGGTTCAGGGTGATTTGCTACGGCTATCGCACATACATGCCGAAAGACAGTTTCTGTAATTGTGATGAGCCTTGCAAGACCTGGGCATGTAGCTTACCACCATCCTGCCAGCGAACTGCATGTCGACATTTGGTAGGCATGATAATTCCCATATCGCGAACTGCCACCATGGATTCCCAATGTAGATCCTTGGAGATTATGTTCTCGATTGTGACTTGAATCATCACCAACGAGGTCACTGTAAGCGTGACAATACTAGGAAAACCCCCAAAAAACTGATCGTGAATGATAACAAAAGCACCAAAGAATCTGTGCCACATTTTCAATTCTTTTGCATCTCAAAAGCATTATGAGCATGACCAATTTACTTGTGCAATGATTGAAGACCCCTGAAATGATTTTTTATACTAAGCAAAATCGCTGCAATTGAAACCTTCACCACGGAAATCAATGGGAGGTCTATATGTGTCGAAAGTTATTAACATAAGCGGCTGTACTTGATATAATACTTATTTTCTTTAATTTTATACATCGTTATTGAAATATAACATAAATCTATGGTATTCCTTCATGCTTGGACAAACAGCGCGCAGAAAGAATCACAGCTTAAATAACATCGAAGAGTTCCTGTGTATGCCTGCCAGCAAACAATCTCGCAGGTCGTAAGAAAGTTGAAGTAAAGCTTACAGCAATGTGATCTCCAGCATATCTTGTCAGTAAAAAAGGTTTTGCTTTATATCTCTGGCGCAATTCAAAATTAAACGGTTAGCAACGGGGGGGGGGGATCAGCCGTTTCCGTTTCTGTTCAAAAACTGAATGTAGAAAGAAAGATCGCTTCCATAAAACCCTCTTTACACGTTTCATTGGAGTGCAGGGATCAGTGATACAGTCAAAAGCAGCCGATATTCTTATGGCTGTGGTTTACTTCTCATACTTCGCCGGGTGTTTCGCCCCATATTCGAACAGTCTATGCAAGGCGATGTCCAGCTAAATGCGCTCTGTTGAACTTTCCGACCCATTACATTCCACCCAGGCCCTTGTTATATATTTAACTTAGCTATACCTCAATCTTAGAGGTCACAAAAGTGTCGAACTCAAATTTCTCTCATGTAACAATATTGTGTCTCAGGTCTAGTGTGCAAGACGTGATCCACGATAGTATTCATCGAGTATGCGTGTACTCATATCAATCGGTAGGTGAACATTTGTGATTTATGCTCTCCATGATTCGAGGCTGCCTTACCTTTTCCCCGCCTTTCAGTATGGTATCCTCTTCATGCAAGAATATCGTTGCCACTAGTCCCCGGACGTACTTTCCTACCTGTTCCTCCTTGCATTGATCTCATCAATTTCTCTGATGTGTGAGTTCTTGTCGGCCTTCTCTGGAAGGGATCCATTTTTTCATTAAGTACATAAACAGATCCCAACAATTTCTCACCCAAACTTGCCTCGACAGTCCTAGCAGGTTTGAGTCTGGCGGCGAGTAGTTGCTTGGATTTTGTGGACGTTTCAAATATTCCGACCTGCTACAGGGGCACATTCCTTTGCCTGGGAGCAGAGGATGACAATTGCCATCTAGGAGAAAACCAGCTTGTTATGCATGTCCTTGACATGGGGCGTGATAGGAGAACACGCCAACCACAAATTGGCTTGAAGATGGAAAATGAAGGCATGGCCAAAAGCACTATAGAAACAATCTGGGTGGAGGACGAGTACAATCTCTTCAGCGGCCTTTCTCCCTTTTCTCCGCTTATCAATTCGGCAGATGTTCGCTACCATCTTATCGATAACGCAACTGTCTTCACCGACGCTCTGGCTCATCACGTGCCCTTCGATCAGCATTTTGTCGCGTCCTGTGTACCGGAACAGAAGGATATGTCAATTCTGCGGAGCATGCATCGCCAAGCTAAAACTGTTGACTGCGTACAAAATAGTGGGGCAGAAAACAAGCACAACTTTGTCACCATGGCTTTCGAGACAACTTGCTCAGTAGAAGACGTGGAGATGGCACTTAAGCTGGGGTTGATTCGGGTAGGGGTGCAGCTGAGTGGATTTGCCAAAAAACCCGTGCGTAAAGGCTTCATCACGTGTCAAGACATGTTGGAAGTGCTGCCGTTTGACGAAGAAGACCATGATGATTCAATCGAGAGCTTTGACTTCGATGAGGATGAGTTTTGGGAGGAGGAGTGGGACGAGCCTCGTGCCGCACAAAAGAAACGCAACAGGATGTGAAAGAGGAATGTCCTGTAAGCATGATAGAAACAAGTTGAGGGATATCATACTCATTACGCAGTGTGCAAAGGTGTCGAGGAAGAAAATGGCTCATGGTGATGATGTCTCCACTTTCATTTGTGAGAGGCAGAGAATAGAGTCTTCTACAATAGAAATAGGTCTACACGCGCAAATATGGGGGACGTAATATTCTTTTTTATCGCGGTCACTTACTTTTGAATGTGAGGCGTTGAAAATTGCTGTGCGCGATTACGCAGATCTAAGAAAAATCTATAAACAAGAAATAACAATACACGGGTGGCACGTGATAGAGCATAATGCGTGTCTTGTCAAATTCATTACCTTTTTTTAGCATTTTAATGCTTATGGACAAATAAAATGTCGTGTCATAATACTACATGTGTACAAGGAGCGGAGAGTGTATGCATGGTCACTGCAAGCAAGTACATCATCAATGGAGAATCTCCAATTCGATAAACCTCCCTTTGTCTAAACACCCAGCACAGTACTGATACAGGCTCCGAAGACCACTACCAGATGATTTTCCTCTGTCCCTCATGAATCCGTAGCAAGGCCCCCAATCTCTCATTCTGGCTACGCCACCTTTCATCGCCCCGCAAAGACTCTTCGCGCAGCTGCCGCATTACCAGATCTAGTCGCATCTCATTTGCCAGGCACAGGCGCTTTAAAGCGCGATAAAGATCCATACCCGAGAGCCCCCCCCGCATGTATAGGTCCAACCGCTGCTGAAAATAGGCCGCATTTCTGTCCCCTAATATGTCCTCAATGCGGGCCATGGGGTCGTCATCGCCCCCATTCCCACCGACTTGCCCCCGTCCTTTCAGCTCGCGCTCTAGTTCTGTCAAGGCCAACACGGTGGGATCGTCAATACTCATGCTTTTCCCATCCTTAGCTTCCTCCTCTTCTTTTCCACCCTCGAAAGACAATTCAATGAGTGTGCTTTTGCCGCAGGTAATACTACCCAGAGCCCGTCCGAGCTCTTCCAGCCCTCGCGTCAACCCGACCACCCGCTCTGATACCGCTGCCTTCATCCTCGCCATCCAAGCCGTCGATGCCGTCAACCCCACCCGCCCAGCCTCCTTCAGGAGCGCCCGGGTGCCCCCGGCCGCACTCCCTTCACCCCCTTGGCGCGACTCAACTGTCTGCAAACCGCCAAGCCGGGCCCGGCGCCGCGCCCAGTACTCATCCGAGAGGCCTCGGCGCTTGGAGGCCTCGGGGAGCCACCGCGTCAAAGGCAAGAGAACCTCCTCAGCCTCCTTGGCAGAGCCAAAGAGGGACACCACGGCGTCCACATAGGCGCCCGCCGAGAGCAGGGAGTTGCGGTACCTGTCGGTCTGGAGCTGAAAGGACCGAATGCGGAGTCGGTTCCCTTGCAACTTTCGGGAGACAGTGCGGAGGAAGGCGTCATCCATCTTGCGGGGCATCCGTCGCACCTGCTGCCGCCGACGGATTACCTCCAGCATCCGCTCGGGGGTTGGTTTTCTGACCAGCAGACGAGTGAGGCTCACGCGCTTCAGCCATTCAGGTAGGCCCCGGCGCCAGGGCGCGACTGCAGTGTCGTCCAAATCCTCTCCATCCTCTTCGGCCCTACCCTCGCCCATCTCTTCCTCCTCGTCGAAGGCAGAAGAGGCATGAAACGCTGAGGACGCGGGGACGGGCCAGTACTCGTCCTCCATGGGCGGTCGTGAGGGGAAAGGCGGCAAAGGCACGCGCGCGTCCATGATCCTCTCGTCGCTAAAGGTCTCAGAAGCTGCAGCCGGAGTCACTGGCAAAGAGGATCCTGCGGCGGCGATCCCGCGGGGCCGCTCGTCCAGGCGGTCAACCAGGCGCGGCGCCCGCAGAGGCACGGGAAGGTTTCTGGCCCTGCTCGGACGGCGCTCCTGCCTTTCCTCTCCTGGCCTAGATGAAGGCGTGGAACGCCCTGCCCCCGTCTCCTGCTCCCGCGGCTCGCTTCCCGCCCCCTCCATTGCGTAGTACTCTGCCCCAGAGGGGGCGCCCGCGCTCTCCTCGATCATCTCCCGCACTCGTCCCCGTAAGCCTTGCCAGACCTCGCTCTCGGCGTCCCCCTGCTCCTCCTTCTCCATGTCGACCCCATGATCCGCCCAATCAAGGGCCTCAAGCTCCATCTTCTCCCTCTCCGTGTCTCCCTCCCCCCCCGGCCCCGACACCTGGGGCCATGCTGTCGAGGCGCTAGCCGCCACCGCTGCCTTGGCTTTCTTCTGGCGCAGGACGAGCGGGGTCGCATACAAGGGCCCTTGCTTGACCCTAGCTGCCTTTGGCCGCGCGCCTACCTGGGGACGGCTGGGGCCCGCCTTGGGCAGCGCAGCCGCTGGGGCCAGGAGCCGATAGATCGAGTCCGCCAAATGCCGCGCGTCCCCCACGAACAGGTCCCAGGCCTCCGCGGGGCCACGTGGGAACTCCACGAGGTCGTCGAAGACCGGCGGCCGGCCTGAGGGAGGCTCCAGGTCCACCGCATCCGGCCCCTCTTCCCGCCCCGGCCGGCCCCGTTCGCCTTGACCTGGGAACACGGTCTGCCGCCACACACCGGCACTGTAGGCGGATGGATCGATCCGCTGCAGCAGAGATGGCAGCAAGAAGCTTTTCAGATTCACTCCGCTCCTAGCGCCGCTGTCAGCGGGCTTGCCGGCTTGTCTTTTCTTCCGTTGCTCCGCCATCTGCTCCCGGGGCGACCGCGCTGACCCCGGTCTCCCCCGGCCGGCGGCCCCTTTCCGCTTCTTTTTCATCCTCGCACCGATCCGCTCCATAGATTTTGGAAGAAGTGTTGACACCTTGGAACGAAGGCCAGACCAGGCCCCGAGGCCCGAGGCCTTCGCACGCGCCGCCCACGCCCCTGCGCTCACGCTCCACCCATCCGCAAAGGCTTTCATTGTTTTCTTCACACCTCCCGCACTCCCCCGACGCAGACTTGCCGCCTCGTTGCCTTTCTCCTTCGCTTTATTTTGTCCCATTAGGCCACCAGTCTGCTTGTGCCCGGGTCCTGAGATGCTCTCGGTTCCCTCGTTCCCTTCCCGTCCGGCCTGAGGACCAGTCCTCGTGCTTCTTGTCTCATTTTTTGGTCCGAGGCCCATCCCCTCACCGACTATCCGCAAACAAGAGGCTTCTCGCGTCTTTTTCGACACTATGCCGTACCATTTGTCAGAGAGCCAGGAGACCGTCTCAGTGACCAGGTTGAGGGGGACCGAGGGCGTCGGCGTCGTTCCATTTTCAGGAAAACGGCCCGTAGATTTCGCAGAAACCACAGCATAAAAATCCATATCAGCGTCCAATATTGAATCATGTATTTCATTGGGTGGCGAGGCGTTGCGAAATCTTGATGCAAGATTGGAGGAAGTTGGCTTGACTCTGCTGATAGCTCGGCGATCTTCTTCTTGAACCACGGCATGAGGACGAAAATGGCCGCGATCCATGAAACTCGAGACCCAACACGGTAGTACAAAAGCGTTGATATTTCCTAGCTGAAAAAAAAGGAACGAAATAAGCCCCAAGGCAAAGGACGGCATTACGGAGACCGGTCTGCATGAGTAGCACGCTTGCCTCCTCCCACGCTGCTTAGCCACAACCTGGACGTCGACGGCCTCCCCCGCTAACATAACTTCAAGCACCTTAGAAGAAATGCGAATCCATGAAGCTATATGTCGGTGTGCATGTGTATGGAATGCCTAGATTGCAAGAAAAGAGCCGAGAGGATGAGGGGCCTTGGAACAGGAAGAGACGACGTAGCTACGTGTGGCTCGCGGTCTGACACCCGAGCCCTCATTCTGGAGTACCAGTTTTGAGTTTCGGGCTAGAGAGACTCACAAAACCGTCATCATACAACGTCTACATTGCAAGCACCTGTTGCGGGATCCTGTCAGATCTATGAATTTGTCGGCGGCAAACGGAACTGCTTGCACTCGCCGGCATCGCACCTCCTGAGGCCGCCTTCTGTGTAAATCTTCTCGTTCCATGGAAAGTTTGGCATTTCTGACAGGCAAAACTCATTGATACTCAATACGACAGGGCACAACTCGATATTCTTGCCAACTGATGAGCAGTGGAGCAGGTGCGCGTATCGGCGTCGGGGGGAATTCTGATGGCTTGATAGACCGGGAGAAGGTGAGACCTCGTGTACGTCTGAGGGGGCATTCCATTACCTTATTGAGCCATCGGTTTCTTGGCCGATGATTGGTGACAAGGAGTGATTCTGGTTCTAAGCAATGACTGAAGATGAGTGGCATAAAAATTGTTTATGCCTTTACGTGAGTGCAGAAACTTGCCGGGGTACGGAAAGGGAAGACTGAAATTTCCTCTCAGCGCAGTCAGCTTTGATGCCTGAAAGCAATGAAAAACCTTCCTTTTCATTTCTTTTGGCATCCGCTGGTGCTTGAATTTTCCCTGTTAATCTTGAACTACAGGTCACGCCCTCGTTACTCCGCGTCTTCTGGAAAGAGCATGGGCATAATAGCGACCTTGACTATGGGCGGGATGGGAAACAACTCCCGGGACGGCAGCTGCATTTTTACACATGGCCCGACGCCACCTTGAAGGAGCTAAGCCAGCTCTTGAAAGACGTGGTGCCTTGCGCCCGACGCCGCGGCTCTCGCATGGAGTTCTCGTTGGTATACCCAGGGCCGGAGGGGAGGACGCGGATGCGGATGGTGGGGTCGGTGCGGAACAGCGGTCGCAGCCCCGAGGACGCGAAAACCTTGCGAGACTGCAAGTACCAGATTGGCGACCATCTCGACATTGCGGTGATGGATGAGGGGGGCGCAGGTGGAGGACTAAGAGGATACGGAGGAGGGGGGGGGAGAGGGGGAGGGGGGTACCGCAATGGGGGTGATGGCTTGAGCAGGCGGGATATGGAAAGCAGGGGCCGAGGATCGGGTGGCTTTCGTCACAGGGGAGGGACAGGGCCAGATTTTCTGGATCGCTAGAGAGATGGAAGGCTCTGCGTCCGGGAGTTCTGCCACTTGGGACGCGGGTGTTGAGAGGATGGGAAAGTAAGGGATATACTGCAGTGAGGGACACGGCTCTACGTTGCGCCTTTCTTTACACCTTACTTGTCAGCACTTCGAGGAGCCGGCTATAGTCCACTCTCTTTCACGTGACTTCCATCTAATCTGTTAAAACAGTTTAACCCCTGTCTCCGGATCTCACGCCCCTCTCTGCGACTGCTGCAGCGCCAGGGAGACCGCGTCAACCTGCTCACTCAATTGCGCCACTCTCAGCTTCGCTTCCACAAGCGCTTCTTGATACGCGTCCCTCTCTTCCGCCAGTATGGCCACCTCGCTCTCGATCTCCCGTACCTGCCCGAGAGCCCCCGTCGCCGGGCGCTCTGCCAGTGAGCAGGCGGCCTCCGCCTCGCGCACACGGCTTTCCCCGTGCATTACCTGAGCCTGCAGGAGCTGCACGTTCCGTTCCAGCTCCCGCTCAGTCGCCGCCTGCTCCTCCATGGCCTCTTGCGCTTGCCTCAAGGATCGCCGCGCCACCATCTCTTCCTCCCGCCCCTTCGCCATCTCCTCCTCCAGCTCACCCACGCGCTCCAACAAGCTTGCCTTCTCCTGCAGCCAGGCGGTAAGATCCTCTTCCCTCTTCTCCAACTCGGCCGCCAGACGCCCTCGCTCTTCTTCGCGAGCAGACACCAGATGCTCCTTCTCCCCTTCGAGCGCCTGCAGACGCGCCATCAGCCCTTGCCTCTCTGTCCACCACGCCGCCTCCTCCTCCATGTCCTGCTCTCCTCGTTTGCGCAATTGCTCCGCCTCTCTGTCTGCCGCTGCGAGTGCGGCCTCTGCCTCCTGTTTCCTTTTTTCGAGCTCCTCCTTCTCAATCTGGAAGCTGGCTCTCTGAGCCTCGCGTGCCCTCTCCTCTTCTTCACGTCGGGACGCCGTTTGCGCGCGGATTTCCTCGACCTCAGCCTCCAGGCGCGTCTTGTCAGCGCCCAGCTGATCTATCAAAATAGCCATGCGCTCTGTCTCTCGCACTAGCTCCCTCATCTCTGCCGCGTGCTCGGCAACCGTGTCCTCTTTCGACTTCACGGCTGCTTGCAGAGAGATGTGCGCCGTCTTTATGTCTCCTTCTAGCCTTTTTACCTCTGCCTCAAGCCCTGACTTCTCCGCCTCCCATTGACAGGCCTCTCTCTCAACCAGCTGGCCTTGCTCGCCGTGATCCCCCGCAGTGTGGACCGAGCCCTCTGACGCCTCTTTTATCTCCTCGGCTCTTTTCACCCTCATCTCCATCTCCGCTGCCTCTGCTTGCATGGCGGCTGCCTCCTTCATCGCACTTCGCCGTTGCCTTTCCAACTCCATGACCTGTGTCCGTAGAGCTACAACCTCTTTCAGCTCCCTCGCTCCAGCCTCTACCTCTCGCGCCCGACGCGCTTCTTCTGTCTTTTCCATCTCAGCCATCCGCAAGGTAAGCTCACTGCGCTCCCTTTCCACCCTCTCCAGGCGATCACTCCTTTCTTCCGTCTCCGTCTCAAATTCCGTCAGACGGGCCATTAGCTCTGCGTTTCTTTCAACCAAAGCCAGCCGCTCCTCCTGCACTCCCTCGACCCCACTCCCGGTCGAAGTCTCCGCCCCTCCAACCTCACCCGCCCGACCCTCCGCCCGACCCTCACTCCCTCCCTCATCGGCCCCCACGATCCGTCGCTCCGGTGATACACATAGTTCCGGGCTCGAGGCCGCCTGCTTCAGGCGCAGCACCACGCACCTCAGACGTTCAATTTCTGCGGCTGCAGCCGCCCCCGCCCTCGTCGACTCCAGCTCCTGCTCCTCCTTCGCCCGTCGCATTGCTTCCCATCTCTCCTCTGCTTCCTGTACAAGCATTCTTGTGTGTGACTCGTTCTCCACCCCTGTGCTCACATCAACCTCCCTCTTGGCTAGCGCTTCCTTAACCCGGCTCAGCTCGGCGTCTCGGTCCTTGTCCGCCCTCTCGAGCTCCTCGGCTCGCCTTTGAAACTCGCACAGCGTCTCCTCTCTCACAGCCGCCTGCTCTTGCAGCAGCCGCCGATCCTTGGCTCCTTCTGCCCGCAGGCTCAATATATCCTGCTCTTTGGCTGCCTTGTCCGCCGACAAAGCCGCGTTCGCATCTTCCAGCCGGGTCAGACGCTCCAGCAACTCCTCTCTCTCTTGAACAAAAGAGGCCGTTGCCTGAGGAAGCGTGCTAACTTGCGCTTGAGGCCTTGCTGGCGATGAGGGGGTCTGACGCGGGGGCCGAAGGCAAGATTGTCGTGGGGCACTAGGCAACCGAGAACTTGACAGGGCGGGGACGGCGCCAGTGGGCGTTGCTGAGGAGGAAGGGGAAGGACCCTTTCTCGGGGCCACCGCGACTGCGGGCGAAAGCGGGGAAGAAGGAGAAGCATTGGAGGAAGCGAATCCTCCGAGTGAGGGTCCTGCTGGCTCATCCCCGACGTCCACCTCGCCGCCTGCCCCCCAACCGCTAAGGTCCTGCTCCTCCCCAAGCTCCTCGCCAGAGATGCTAGAAATTACACTGGACACCTCACTCCCCTGACTCTCCAACTGTCGCAAGAAAGCGCAGCTCACCTCAACCACTATACGACCATCATCCTTAGGGTTGATGCTTTGCAATGAACATTGTTCTTTTGTGCCCGCAGCGGAAGCGAAATGGGATGCATCCAATTTAAACGTAGCAAGTGTCTTGTTTGTTCCGGCTTGCTTCACCAAAAACGTATACTTCTTCTCCTGGTAGCGCCCATGTGAGTCACGATATAATGTAACAACCATAGACAGTGTTTCACTCCATGCACCGGGCTTCCGAGGAGTCGCTGTACAAGTACTTTTGTTTCCGCCTTTTGTCATGATCACTATGACTTCTTTCTCATTATGCATTGGATGAAGACGCACATGCTTGATGCTTACCACAAGCTGAAAGGTGTACTTGGTCTTATTCAAGCGCGAGGCAGAGCGGAGAAATTGAGACATTGTTGATGCTGCGTCGATGCAACAATGGCTGAAGGAAGGACGATGTTGTGAGGTTCCAGTTCTACCGCTGGAGGCCTGAGAAAGCTATAAAATTCCCAGTAGCTCCTCGGGCAAACCCCGGTCTTTCGCGTAGGAGCAAGACTATTGATAAATTTATTCCGGAGTCCGTGTACCTTGAGAGCCATGTTCGCATGATCTAGTGAGTGCTATTGTGATGTGATCGTCTGAAGGCCGAGGATACGTTACTCGCTGACCGTTTCCTCTTGCTTCTTCGCCGTTTCAACCTCCCCACTAATTTCCTTTTCTTTTCCAAGCAATGCATGCTGCCTTCATTGTTAAAGAACGCATGGCGAAAATAAAAATTAACCATAAACCTATATCATACTTTTCTTTTATTGTCCCGTGCAGAAAATATCACTCTGTTATTACCACAAAATCCGTAGGAAGATGAGAAAATGAGTCATGTTTTAAAGAGTGCATTCGCGACCTTAAAGAGTGCATTCGCGACCTAAAGATCAATTGCAGAAGATCATGTGAAGGACAACAATGCTTAGAATGAAGCACATCAAATCGACATTCGTATGTCCCCTTTACCACAGGAAGGCGGGAAGAATAAAAATGGACGGCGACATTGTGCGAGAAGGAGTTGGCCGAAAGAATGAAAACCTGTCTGAAAACGAAGAGAATTCCAACGTCTCAAATTTTCAAGCAACGGAAACAGCACATTCGTCAATAACTAATAGCAGAGAATTTAGGTCTTCGAATGCTGAGGTAGGACTTGAATAAGGAAAAGTTTTTCCCCCGTAGGAAATATGTTGGAAAAAACTGCCGACTTCGCAGTCCCGCCTCAATTTTATACAGGCCCATCTACTCCGGCAAGAGCTGTCCAACTTGAAACTTCGATATACACAGCTCAAGTATAAAATGGAACTGGATATTACGGCTTTAGAGGATCGATTGCGCCGCTGCTGTGAGGAAAACAACATACTAGGAGAGCATAATCACCGAGTTACACACAAGCATCACACAGAGGAATCAAAGATCGCTCAAGAAAATATAGCTGATGGTCTCTTTACTGACGAAAAGGCAGAGTAAGAATATATGCCCTTAAGGGTGTGGAGTTCAGGGCGTTTTAGATATTTAAGATAATCCACGCCGCCCTACGTATCAAGCTGAAGTTTTAAAGAATGGTTAGGATTGTCTCCATCATCAATCATGTCTGTGCTTCACATCCATTTAAAAATTCCAGACCAGACCATGATTCATATCGCTCGACGATACAATCGCTAGAAGAGCGAATGGAACAAGAAAAGGACAATCGGGGGAAAGTGGAGGCTTCCAATAGCAGACTTCAAGACCAGTTATATATCATGGCTCGGATGGTAAATGGAACATGGAAAGGCATACCTAAATTAAGGAAGGTATGTTCCCGAGAAACTACTACTGACAATTTATAACCCTAATCTCTTAGGTCTCTTTATTCCTCGATAAGCTCAAAATGATAAATTCTCGCGGGAAAGCTCTTCCACGAAACAAGGTGCGATCTCTCTGCTTATGCTAAGCCATACTGGATCATCCACATGGCCTCAAAAAGATTTTTTGACAAAGTGTGACATATAGAGGTCCATCTTTGTTCCTGTCCTTCAAAATGTTTTGCGTGACTGTCACATGCGAAGGAAGAACACACGACAGGAACCATACTACCAAACTCAGCAACCACTGACCAGCAGGTGTATGTATGAAGATGCACACTGATGTTGTCTTCTTTTTTCTCGGTGAAGGAACCGACTATTGTTTGGCAGTATGGCATAAATAATGATGTTTCTGACACAAAGACAACTATTTCCACAACCTGACATAATTTTCAGGCCCCAATCAAGACGGAATCAAGAAAGAAAGACCGAAACTCCACAAGTCAAAAATGTCAGAAACACAATCTGCAAGTCAAAAAGAAAGATTTTCACGGCAAGGTCATCGATGAATCCCAAGGAGAAGATCCAGGGCAACTCCACGATCTGCTGAACATTCTCCACGCGCATATTTCTTCTCTTCTGAGAAACAGCGAGGTCCCAAAAAATTGTTGTTTTGATCGGGAGAACTATCGAAACTTTGACCTAGAAGTGACCAATCTTCGAATCAGAAACAAGCCGGTGGAAGCTACCGTTTGCTTAGGTACCCCCCGTGACTCTCTACCTTGTAAAACCTTGCACTCGGCCCAAACATCGAATAATGGCCTTGAAAATGCAATGGATCGAGAGAGAAAAGTTGTCCGGGGCGGATATAGAATAGAGAGTGGTGAGCTTGAACATCTCTCAATAACATCGAGGTCCGCTTTAGCCAGGCAGCAAAATAGCACGAAGACGGGGGTATCAGGGAAAGACGAGTCTACCAAACGATTTCCCGAATGGACAGGCCGCATTGGTGGTTTAGAATCTCCTGTTTTCTCTTCAACAAAAAGAGGATGAAGACAAAGCTCAAGATGTCACAGGAACCAATTACATGAACTCCCTTCTACTTTTGAACTGTGGTTCGCCATTACCTTGACGACTATCATCGTGGCAGTAATATATTGATTGGTTCAATTTCCAAGGCGTGTCACACTCGAATTTATTCTTTCTTCACTCCCGTGAGAGAATTGACAGTCCTATCATTCCCTCCGACTTTATTTTTTGCCTCCAAGTAGTCCTACACAACTGATACTTTATGACATGCACTAACTGATCGGCTGAAGACGGCGAGCCATTCACTTCTGTTGTTTTGCGCTTTCATGGCCCTTCATCCTAAGTCAGCCCCTTGCCTTCAAACATTTTTGGCAATACCAGGGGCGATGTGGGCGTTCAGGGTATCAAGCATGCCCCGTATGCCGCCCTTCTTGGACGTGTTCCGGCTAGTGCCTTTGCTGTAGGAGCCCGAATCAGACATGGAAAGGGAGCGTGTCGAAGAGTAGTCCGAATAGTACATGGCGTCTGCGGCAGAGCGGAGATGGTGGGAGGTGCGGAGGAATGCTTTGAATATTTTATGCTCATCGAGAGGCCGCAAACAACGCGGACACGTACCACTTGAAGAACTCGAATATTGGGGGGAAGACGTCATAGAGGGCAGAACGTTGTCGTTCACAGAGAGCGAGACGAAGATCGCAAAGGGCACGAACCAGACCAGAAGGAAGAAGATAGCCTGGGTAAAAGTGTTTTCATAAGGTAAGCTTGGGAAGTATGCGATTATGGTTCGTTAACGACTGCCAACCCTTCCTTGAACAAGCGAGTATATGGATGGTGAGAAAGAGTGCATACACTTTTAAGCACACTTCACCCCAACCAAATGCTGCGCACAAGCAGCCCGGACAGGGAAGTATAGGTCTCAGCTCTATATAACAAGTCCCAACCGCTACCGGCTTCTCTCTACTACCCATGAATTTCTGCAACAAGGTAGCAGTTCTGGTCATCCTCATCCTTTGTCGATTCCTTAAAACCTCAACTCGTTTACGTACAATGCTTGTTAGGGCACTCGGGACGATGGAAGGACGGCCGTGAAGGTACTGAAACCAGATGTAATGATCGGCACAGAGTGCGACCAGGCCCAACAAAAACTTATAACTGAATATCTCTACCTTTGGAAAATCCATCAACAGCCAGGTATAAGCCCCGTGGCACGCAATACCGCCCAAGAGGACCAGGAGTGGGAAGGATTCGAAATAGAGGAGGACATGGACACCGACGACGGCGGAGATTGACCACATGATCATCCGCTTGGTGGCCGACGCGTATTCCTCCGCGAGCTCTGCAGCGTAGTAGAGTCCGCATGCTGTATCATTGAAATTACATGAGAATTCAGAGTGAGCGGTGACATGGTGAAGTTGATAGCATCCGCCCATGCCAGGTGAAAACGGGTGGGATAAGAAGTGGGGACGGGAACAATGTTTTTTATACGGACAAAAACTGGTTTCTAAGCATCAAAAATAAAGAACATCGATCTTTAGTAATAATTGACAGTCTTATGGACACTTCACACGTTTGTTGCTGCAAAAAGACACCGCCCTGTGTTGGCCCGCATCGAACAAACGCTTGCTTGAGCTTGAACTTCACTTACCGATGCATATGGTCTGAAACAGGATGGCCATGTAACCCGCGATGTACCCAACGGCAGCAAGAACATACCCCATATTTCTGTAGCAGCAAAGGAGGATAAATGTGTGCGAAGGCTGTCTGTGCGTGAAAGCAATGAGTCCCGGAAGAAAGATACAGCGTGAAACGTGCTGGGAGCAGTCGTAACGTCTCGGGTTTAGGGGTTGCCCAGCGTCCAGCAAAGCGCGGTCCAACAGTTGCAGTCAAGTAGAAGTGCGCCACTACTTGGCCAAATTCATTGCGGTCAAAATCTATGGGTCGAAGGACGAGAGGGCATCGGCCCGATCTTATTAACTGCTCCGTGCGACGTTCTTGACCAAGAGTTAGCCCGGGGCATCTCTTCTCGTTGGGGGTGAAACGACTCACGAGAGAACCACGCACCTTCCACCCGCGTTGCAAACTGCGTAAACTGGATACCACGGTCACACTCACTTCCTCTTCTTGCCAACTTTCAAGGTATATATGGGTCGGGTGAGAAGATACAAGAAATTGAAGGCTTGTGACCCATGCGCGCGGGGGCAAGCGCCTCGAGAGGAGGATGCGAAGTACGATTTGCCGCCAGCGGGTCTCGACTCGGATGAGGAAAAGGGTACGTCTCTAGAATAGTGGGGAAGTTCAGAAGTGATTTATTTCAAGAGAGAGATACATTCGCTGTCTGCATCCTTGAGGGGGGATTGCGAGCGAAACAATTCTTCTATCTATTTAAATTTACATGATCAATATTTTAGCTCATCATGCAGTGATTAACGACACATTCCATTGACTCAATGTCAAATTTGCGACTCTCAGGCTTGATAATCGATAAAGTTAGATTTTTTCCTAGCATCATACACGTATTTTCTGATTATTAGAGCCAGCCTGCCTATCAAAAGGACATAAATCACATCTTACTCGCTATCACACAATAGCTTGCTAGTATGCCGTTCATATTTTTCTTTGCCTCATCCATCGCCAACCTAGGTGGGGGCAGAAAAAGACGAAGACAAGAGCGGCGATGGGCTCAAGATGCTCTACGGGACGACGAGTACATCGAAATGCTTGAAAACGAGGCCACGAGGAAAAGAAAGAAGCAACTGCCAGAAATCAGCATCCAGCCCCGGCAGCCGAACGAGGTAGGTCCAGGATGAGAACTTGTAAAAAAGCCTTCTTTGGAGGCAGTTCATTTTACTTTTTATCCCTCACCTTACCAGAGCATGAAGGCATTCCAACACCGGGTTCGCCAAGACTCGAAAGCCCTCCTTCGAGAGAGCAACCTGGCCAACAGCACCACCAAGGCTCGCCGTCGCGAGTATCTGAGAATAAGGAAAGCGAACAAGAAACGCAAAGCCCAGGGCCTGCCTCCCTTGCCTCACCGCTCGAGGGGCCAGGAGGAATGCGACGGACGAGAAAATCAAGGAGGCTTGATGGACCCCGCGCCCTCCTTCGCGGCCGCCGAGACCGTGCCGTTCGGACAGACCAATGACGCGCCTCCCGATCTCCACCTGCCCCGCTTGCCGGACAAGCTTAAGGCTGGGGCGAGACCAATCGACGGGCGCCACGGTCAAGCCCCGCAGAGACCCGGCGGGAGGAGACAGGAACTGAAGGCAAATGAGAGCGGAGAGAAGGAGGGGCCAGTTGCCAAGGCGGCCGCCGCACGCGCTAAGCAATCTCCCGCTGAGAAGGCGGATTGGGCCAAGCTGAGGGAAGAGGCGCAGCAGGCTTACCGCGCCATGAAGGAGGGCAAGCAACAACAAGAGCTTACTTCAAAATTTGTGTGAAGGCATATGTGAAGAAAAATTTGCCAAAACAAAAAGAAGAGGGGAGAGGGCCTCGCACGTGAGCATCGCAAAACTTGATTTCTTGTTACTGCTACTGCGGATTTACTCCCTTTTCTTAGATGCTGTGAGGCCTCGCTGCACCATGCACGCCATACAATGACAATGTAACCGGCAGCGGCGCCTTTTCACCCCCCTTCTTTCGATTTCTGGCCGCTCTTCTTCCTGTCGCTTCAAGTGGCAGTAAAAATCAGACGACTGCATCCGCCTTCTCGCATCAAGTGGGCTCGGTTCTTCCTGCCCTGCACTGCACTTCTCCCACCATCGCAGTAGCTTCTGCCTTCCTCATCATATCCTATCCCCTCATTTCGACCAGAATCCCCCTCTTATTCCTACTTGGTTGACCATGCATGTGCTGATTCGCCAAAAATGCGTCCTGCTCAGAGCTGGGAGCGATTCCACCATTAACTCTATCCGTCGTCCTCTCTTTCATAGATCTCCTCATCGATCCCACTTTTCTTTCCAATCTATTTTCCGTTCAAAAATCCCTTCGCAAAATTTTTTCTTTGTGTTACGCTCATCATGAAAAATATCCCCGTCTTGATCTACGCCTTCTCTCAGTCTCTTGATAGTAATCGGGCTGATGCCTTGTATCCCTCATGCCGCGCTCAAAGTCCTAGGTCCGTGCTTGCGTGCTTACGCTTTACCGGACATCAACCCTTCCCTATGTACAACAGGCTGAAGGAGTGCCTAGTCAGAATCTCGCCCTGCCCTCAGTGCCCGGCCCTGTCAAGTCCCAAAATCACCAAAACTCCCCGCCTCCAACAGCTGATTCCTCTAAGTAGCCTCCCTACCGTTACCATCTTTCCCAGCTTCCCCATCTTTCCCAGCTTCCCCATCTTTCTCGACCAGGCGCGGTCGATCCGTTAGCAGATACCTGTGATGTCGCAGTGTCCGCAGCGTGGCGAAGGGGCCCAGGAAGAGCACGCACTCCCACAGGGCTACCCAGAAGAGGAGGAACATCATGTAGCTGAAGACCGCCAATACCCACCAGGAAGGTGGAGCCGACGGACTTTCGTCCCACCCCCCCAGCGAAGACGAGGCTGTGGCCGCCGATCCAACCAGCGCCTGGGCGAGACTGACCACAGCCTCAGTGAGAAGCGCGCCAGCTTGAAGGGTCAGCTGAAAGGGCGGGAGCTCCTGTAAAGCCACAGAAAGGGTAGAAAAAACTCCCCCGGGGGTAAATGGGAGGCGATAGGGAGGAAAGGGACTGATGGGAGCATGGGTCGGGGAGGGCCCGCGAGGGCAATACTCGCCCAGCCAGAGGGAGACGCAGTCCTGCCGGTATCCGTCCCAAAAGTTGTTAATATACAGGCGCGTCACTGCGTACAGGCCATCGAGGAGCATGCCCTTAATCGTTCTGCGCCCCGTCAGGACAAAGTCGGTCTTCAGCGCGGGAGTGCCTGCGTACAAGGTGCTGAGCGCGTCGGCATTCTCCACCCACAAGGTCGTCAGCTCTCGCTCGAGGGACGCGGGGTCGGGGGCAAGAGCGCCCGCCGGGAGGGAGCTGAGAGCGTGGCGCAAAACGCGGCCAGCCACCATGCTCTGCACCACGTTGGTCCGGTCTAGATTATCCATACAGTTCGTCCGCACCACCCCCTCTTGCTCCCGCAGGACGATCTCCTCAGCTGAAGCCTCCTCCCACACCCCCTGCCCGCCTGCTCTCTCTCCTTCTCGCGTCTTCTCCTTGTCCGCGCATCCCCCCTGGCCCACTTGCTTGCCAGCATCATGGATTCGCACCATAGTCCACCCCTGGCTGGACAAGAGTGCGTCAATCTGGGCGAGAAGGTGCGTCTTGAGCCTCCCCCACTTCTTGTAAGATCCGCACTCCTTGTGGAAGTCGAACCAGGTCAGACTCACGCGCGGCGTCCCTCCTTTCCCCTTCCGCTCCGCAAACGCTGATGTTCTTCCATCATCTTCTCTGTCAGGCGCGGGCGTCGAGCGGGACTTGGTCGCCTCCGTTTTCGCCCCTTCCTCTCCCCCTCTTTCCAAGGCCCCTCTCCCCTCCTCTCCAAATTCATCCAACGGCACGTAGGCCGCCAATTTCTCCACCTCCTCCTGTAGCCGTCGACCCAGCGCCGCCTGCGCCTGCGAGTGTTTGCTTGATCCTCCGGAGTCGACGAGATTAACGAGCAGGATGTCCCTGTAGTTGGAAGTGAGCTGCTCCAAGTGCGCGGCCGTCACCGACACTTGAAGACCCCCTCTTCCTGAGCCGCCGCCCGAGCCATGACTGGCCAGGCTCAAGGAGGAAGAGGGCGGCGTGGGCAAGCCGGGCGAGAGACGCACGCATGGCTGCCATTCGAGTGTGGGTTCTTGCGACCAGGTCAACGGAATGGAGCCTCGGACTTGCACATGCGAGAGCAGGAGCGTCTCGGGGCCCTCCCTATTTCCTCTCGCACCCTCGGGGAGTGCCAGAATGACCTCCGTCTCCACAAAATTGGCCACTGCCCCTTCCTTGTTGGCCCCGCGCCGGTAGAAGCGAGTGCCCTGCATCCTGGTGCTGCGGCGACTGAGGAGCGTCAACCTCGCCGCCTCGCCAGCGCCTTTCCGTGCGCCGTCCAGGGGAATGGAGCGCGAGACTGCGTAGCCACTGATGCATGCAGTGCCCCAGAAGAGACGTGCGGGCCCAAGGTTGGATAAAAGAAAGCCGTTCCACAGGAAGGGAAGGGAGGTCGAGGGGGAGGGAGATGTCAGGTTCGAGGAGGAGGACGACGACGAGGAAAAGGAGGAGGTGGAGGAGGAGGAGGCCGCTCTACTGTCTGTCCCTCTCCTAGAGCTGCCATTCTTGGCCATGAGCGCGTATGCAGGGCTGTCAACGTCGCCCACGCCCCCCCCCCTCCCTCCCCGTGGCCGCCTCCTCCCCCCAAAAGGCGGGGCCGTCGACTCGAAGTCCAGCCCGGGGCAACGCCGAATGTTTTCCTGCAAGCTACGGTGCAAAGGATATCGCGGACTGAAGTATAGAGACCCTGCCACCACCGGCGCCTGCAGCATACGCAGGTACCTCTCCTCGTCGCAGCGTTGCCCCGGGGAGCTTAGCGCCGGGTGCTGTTGCGGGTGGGGCCCTGTCTGCTGCCGGCGCGAGACGGGGAGCATTCCCATCTTCTGGACTCGATGAATGCTGAAGCTGCTGGTTTTGTCGGTGAGATTACTACCGCGTGGGGAGGTGCCGACGATCTCGGAGGCCTCGATGACCAGCAGGTATGCCCCCCCCAGGAGGTAGACAAGGCCGAGGATGCCCTGGATCTCTCGCTCCTCCTCGCTCCCGACGATGTCTCCGTCCCGCACGGCCGTCTGGAAATCCTTCACTTCCACAGTCACGCTGTCGCTCCCAGCGCCTCGAGTGTCGGGGGGAGGGGAGACAGGATCGCCGTCTGCCTGGGGCCACCGGGGTCCAGTGCGGGGGGTGGACGGGGGGGCCCTCAGCACCAGGACAGGGTCCAGCCCCTGTTGCGTTTTCTGTCATGCAGATGGTAATGTTTGAATATCAAAGTGTGTCGAGGATGTGCTTTACTCCGCGAAAGTGCGACACATGGGTGCACAGCGCCTTCGTGCAGGCAGCACCTTCCATGCGCTTAGGGTGCGTGGCGAAAAAGCTTACCGGAGAGTGAGGACCGCACGGCGCCCGAATAACCAAATAGTCTGGCTTCACGGTGAGATAAAGGAGGGATGAATGCTTGCGCGTTGTGATCGGGCCTTTTGGAGAGGACAACAAGGATGATGCCGGAGAGGAAGAGGGAGGGGGGGGCGTGAGGATGGTCTTGCCCCACATCATGCCACCATTTAGCGGCATTTTGGTCCTCTTCTTCGTCCGGACGCCCACCACACCACCTCCCGGCATTGGCCTCTGGGCTGTAACCGCCACGGATGGCTTGCGCTGCAATTGTGTGCGTGCGTGAGAAAGGCAGGTGAGGAGGACATGGAAACAGGGGGAAAGAATTACTGATCGCTGAGGGCGAGGAAAGACAGCCCTCAATGCACACCACGGTGGAAGAGGGCCCAAAAACACGGCCTCGGCGATACCTTCACGCCAAGGTGCCCCCTCTTCTACGGGGTCAAAGTAGTATCGAAGATGCATTCTCCTTGGCCTGAGGCGGGGCGGCGTAGGGTTTGGAGGCGGGGCAAAGATTCCTGGTGCCGGAGCCTCCTCGCCTCGCGCTCGCCCTCCTTCTAACCTCCCCACTGGGACCAGACCGCGGCCACGGCCTGACTGCCAGACCCGCCCCCTTGAAGGCCCGCATGCGTTGCTATGGACAGACTGCGCCATTGATACCATACCATGGCCATGGTCAGACTGTGCCTGTGTCGGACATGCGGAGGGCGATTGGAAAGCGCGACATAATTGAGAAGAGAGATGTCTAGTAACTGTGAATTCCATACATGTAGAATGCCCATAGACATCAGTAAGTGTGAAAATTGACATGTCATCGGCACAATATGTGCAGGTTGCTCCATTTGGCTCTAACTTTTCTTGCAAGAGCTCGGATTTAACGTCAAAAGTGGTGCGGGAGATGGCGTCAACAGACAGCGACAACATGCAAAGCAGTCTACAATCACAGAATCCGGCCGCATATTTACTCTCTATCAACAAAATTGCAGTCAAAAATTACGAATTACCATCCCCTCTGGGAGAGTACGACGTACGTATTGCAATAAAGGCCGTCGGCATTTGTGCCTCAGACGTTCACTACCTTCGAAGAGGTCGTATTGCCGACTTTATTGTAAAGGAGCCCATGGTAATAGGCCACGAGAGCGCAGGAGAGGTAGTGGCTGTGGGAAAGAAAGTCACAAACCTTGTTGTAGGTGACCGGGTGGCAATTGAGCCAGGCATCGCTTGCCAAAGGTGCCCGCAGTGCAAAACGGGCGCTTACAATTTATGCCCTGACATGCGATTTTTCGCGACCCCCCCGGTGCACGGCTCCCTCGCCCGCTTCGTTCAGCACCCGGCAAATCTATGCTTTCCTTTGCCTGCCTCCATATCCTACGAGGAGGGCGCCATGTGCGAGCCCTTTGCGGTTGGCGTGTACGCGTGCACCAAAGCCAAGGTACGCCCGGGCATCCGCCTGCTCATCACAGGAGCAGGCCCAATCGGACTGGTGACCCTCTTGGCAGCCCGTGCTTTTGGAGCCTCCGACATCATTATCACCGACGTGGACCGGCGGAGACTCGCCATTGCCGCCGAGATAGCGCCGGGGACACGGACGGTCCTTGTAGAGGGCAAGGCGCCGGCAGAGGTGCTACACATGGTCGGTGGCTGCGGGTGCGTGGATGTGACGATGGACTGCGCAGGGTTCGAGGGGACCGTGGAGCTGGCCTTGGAAGCGACGGCCAATGGCGGCAAGGTCCTCTTGATCGGCATGGGATGCAGCACCCGCAGAATGCACATCCCCTTGCTCCCGGCGGCTATCCGGGAAGTCGACCTGCTGGGGAGCTTCCGTTACCGAAACGTGTACCCGGCGTGTCTGGCCATGATCGCGTCCGGTAAGGTGGATTTGAAGAGGCTCATCACCCACTACAAAGATTTGTCGGGGCCGGGCTCTTTCACAGCCGAATCGGTAACAAGCGGTTTTGCGCTTTCGGAGCAGGGGGGGGAGGTGGTAAAAGTCATGTTCACGCTGTAGGACAGGATTTGATGGGGGCAGAAAAAAATGGTCGAGGCCCTATCTCACGGTATTCCTTAACGTCTAGGTTTTACGCAAAACATCTATAATTTATTTATTTGTGCTCTATGAGTGATTTATGTCTCATCCACCCCAACAAAAGCAAAAATATTCCTGCACACACGCCCGCCCTGCTCCTCCTTGCTCAGGCGCCTTCACTGCATCCCTTCACACAATCTGCAGCTTCCAAAGCCCTTACCGCAGCCACGGCACTCAATTGCAGCACCGGCGCTTGATGAAGTTCTGAGCGTAGGCGTGAGATAATGGTCGCAGGAGGTTCCACACCTCCCGCAGACCTTCTCCCTCCTTGTCCCTCCCTTTCCCATTTCCTTCCTCGCTCCCGCGCATTACGCCCTCCTCTTGGCCCCGCCCTTCACCTGCAGAGAGCACCGAGACTTTATCCGTCACGGAGGACGAAAAGCGCCACATGGCCGACCGAAGCAGCTCCTTCACTGCCTCGGCCTCCATCTCCTCATATCCTTCGCTGCCCCCCCCTACCCCCCTGGCTCTCATGGCCGCCAAGCGACGTCGATTCTCCGCCGAGAGCCGAAAACGATACACCTCCTCCACCACCCCGCTCACATGGAAGTCGATCGCCGACCAGGGGATGTCGCCCTCGTCCCGACCCCCGCCCGAGACCGGACGCAGCCGCCACACGGCCGGCCAGTCCTCCAACGGGGGCGCCTCCAGGGATCTCTGGACAAGCGATGCTCCAGCGCGCGGCACAGGTGCACTGGGGGAAGCAGGGGGCAATGGCGCCGCTTGCTCCCCAGCTATGAGCCCGAGCGACGGCAGCCACGCCCGCGGCACCGGCTGTCCCTGCGCGTGCGGCTGCCAGATGAGCCACCGCAACCAGGGCCGGGGGGAGTCCAGGTACTCGGCCAGCTTCCGAGGACCCAGATAGTCGAGCGGCGCCAAGGCCATGGCCCGGCAAGAGACCAGACACGGCGGGTCCTGGTGGAGAGGCGGAGTTGGGGGAGGACGCCAGCCGGGGAGGGGCACGGCCCCGAGACACGGGGGATGCACCAACCTCTCTAGCTCCGGCGCCCGGCCGCCCCCCGCCCCCTCCTGCGCCCCTCCCCGCCCCTTCTTCCATTTTGCCTGCCTCCTCCGGGTCTTGTAGTCCCAAGCGGAGGCGCCAGAGCTTGCCCAGGCTGCGAAGCATGTGGGCGTCGCAGGGCATCCCCCCGTGGTATCGCCGGGCTCTCAGGCACCGCAAGAGCGTCAGGCACTCAGGAGACAGTCCGTCCTCCGCCCCTTCCTCCAGCCCCACCTCGCCCATGTCCGACACAGCATCTAGCACCGGGTGATACTCCGAGGGCGAGAAATCCGTGACCCGGGCCGAGGCCACCTCAAAGACCGCCCGGGCCAGCACCTTGCGCAGAGCCGCGTCCGGCGCGAAGCCTTCTCCTGCCATCATCAGCCAGGTGAAGAGCACCAGGGCGGGCGGATGGCAGGCAGTATCCTCCAGCATGATGATGAGCATGCGCCGGTACAGTTCCAAGGGGGCGCGGTGCAGCAACTGGAGGGCGACCCTCGCTGCTGCCTCTCCCCGGGAGCGTCGGACGTTCTTTTGCAGGGCAGACTTGAGGACGGGTATGGGGACGTTCGGGAGGGGGAGGTGGTGAGATCTGTCGCGTGTCGGTGGGGGAGGATGTATGTTGGTCCGGAGAAGGAGACGAGCCGTCTTGGAGCCTGGGAGCGCTACCTCACGTTCCCACCACTGCTGGGGCTGCCTATCCGGGGGGCCCCGGAAGCGCGCCCCCTCTTTTGGAATGCGAAACGGAGAGGCAGCATGCGGAGCCCATGCCCAATCCAGAGCACCGCTTTCAGTGCACCGTAAGAGCGTGAAGGCCTCTCTTCGAAACTGCGTATGAGCTGCCCGCCGGAGGACGTGAAAGGCGTTCGCAGCTCCTCTCCCACTTAGGGCTGCTGAATCCGGTATGCGAGCAGCTCCTTCATCTAAGGAAACACCTGGAGAAGGGGTGACGATGCGAGAAGTCAGCCTCGGGGCTGAGGCGCGGAAGGCGCCTTCTCCCGTTGGCGGGGATTGAAAGGGCATCTGGGAGGGCGAGGGCGATACCATCGGCGGCGATGTCGTGAGTTTCGAAGACTCTGCTCCTGCACTGGAAGCAAGTATCCTACAAGCGTGCTTCATGTCCTTATTTTCAAAAATTGTGCCCCCCTGCCCCGCCGCCTCGTCCTCCTCCACCACCACTAGGCGCCGGTTTCGACCCCCGTCCCCGAGAGCCCCCGTGGGACCCCCCTTCCCCTGGCACACGTCGGCGTGGGACTGCATCGTCAACGGAAATCCGTGGCCACATAGTGGGCAGGTGTAAAAAGCAGACCCATCAGCCGCTCGTAATGCCGCAGCGGCGTCAGCTTTAGCCATCGCCTTCGTCGAACACGAGGTCCGGCGCGCAGTGGCCCACGCGAGCAAAGTGGTCTTCTGCATGGAATTTGGCGCCATTCTATCCGCTTGCAGGCTGCCTTTGAGGGATCGTTTTCTCGATGATGACATGGCCTGTGCTTGCTTGGGTTGTGTATCGTTGTATGCCTGAAATCAGCGCAGAGTACTCGATGTTCTCGTTCGCCTACTTGACGTCGCGGTCCGCCCTGCGACTTTTTCAGCGATCCCCCCTTCTGTTGCAATCGATATATTAAGTCACGTGTTGCTAGATGCACAGGCTGCAGGACTGCCAAGCAACAGCTCTATCACTCCGGGAAAAATGCATCCAGGTGCATGTTGTGCTTGTAATTAATGGCCCGAGGATAAGTGGAAGTCTGTCGGCACATTGACCTCCTGGGGTATCTTACACGTCACTTCACTGCCTAGCACCGTGCTTTCAAGCCTCCAATGCTCTCGCCGCTTGTCCTCATTCTTCATCTTCCTACACACTACCTTAGAAGAGTGAGAGAAGGGCCTCCTTTTCACCCTTCGACTTCTGCCTCGCAATCTCACCACACAGTACAACCGGTCGTCGGCCAGGTCAGAGCGCCATGGGGGAAGTGGCAACGCCCTCGACACCGAGACCCTTCCTTGGTGCGTAGTAATGCTCAGCATTTCTTTGCAAATCCTGTCTTTAAGATGTATACTGATGAGTTGTCTCAATAATTTCTACTAGGCACTCTTTCGGGTGATACGTTGCTCACTGTGCTGCAGTTTTTAGATGTCGCAGACGGGACACGCGTGTGTTTAGTCAGCCCTTACCTGAACAAATCTGTATGTGAACACGATGAAGTTCTATTCAAAGCACATGTTTTGAACGAGCAATTAGTCTCGCTACCGACTCCGGTGACCTTGAAACAGAAAGTCCGAGCCGCCCAAACCCTGCAGACGGCTCTGGCCCTGAAGGGAGGGTGGAGGGGCTTGTCTTACGTCACGCGGCATGTCACAGGACGGCCATGCCTCGGCTATTTCCGGCAGATACCTCGCGACTTCAGGAGCGATTTCAGGGGCAAGCTCTTCCGCGTACGCTTGGAGGATACCGAGGTGTCTGACATGGCTTGGGCGCCTGAGGGGCTTCCCCGGGGCAGGGAGGGGCGGGGACTGGTGCTGGAGGAGGTAACATTCTCGTGCACGCATGAGGTGGTGAAGGCCTTACGACTGTATAGAGCTCCTGGGCAAAGCGGGTCTTGCTTGGGAGGAGTTTGCGATGGTGAGCCGTTGGTGAAGTGGACAGCCCGAGTAGAGCCGAAAGGCCGGGGCCGGAGCCGGGAGGATAGAGCCGCGGATACGCAAGTGTGCTTCGAAGTTTTTCACTCGAGGGTAGGGGCGTTGCACCCTCTGGCGCCCTGCCTCTCGTTGTCGGCCTCCGGGGGACAGCTGCGCGAGTTCGAGGACCTGCAGGGTCTGTGGAGAGGCGTGTATGGGAGCCACGGCTGGGAGATTATCCAGGTCCGGCTCCGACGACTGTGGACGGATGGCAGCGCAGGCACCTCCCCAAGCATCGGGGGCCGCGTCATCCTGGAGGGGCTCAAGCTGGTGGGGGACGCCAATGTGCCGGCGAACGAGTGGACCTTCCGAGCCGACGTGACGGCCCCCCCTCTGGACAGGGCGGAGGCGTTGGGGGCGGACACTAGGCCCATATACTCACTAACTACGCGAATGGCTCCACAGTCATGGGCCCTGGCCGAGGAGGCCGGGCGGATCCGAGCCGTTTACCGTGGCAAGGGGCAGGTCAACATGGTGCCGGGCATCTGGGAGCCGCAGGAGGTGGGGGTGGACGTGATGCTACTCAGGCGGGAGGAGGAACGGGGGGCGGGGGGGAATCTGGCTGCTCTGGCACGATGAGGGCTTCTCGTCCAGGCATTGCATCGAGCTGACGCGGTTGATAGAGGGGGAGGAGGCGGGGGAAGGCGAGGGGCGGGCTTTTGTGGAGGGCTTGGAGGCGACGTCGGGGTCAGAGTCCGATTAGGGGAGCGCCGGGGCGGGGCACCGGCCTGAGCCTCTGCAGAGACTCTTTGGAGGGAGGGACGGGTCACGTGCTAAGGGCATGACCAAAGCACTGGATAGGAAGCAACTCAGGCTGTTTTCAATCGTCGAATCGCGGTGAGCCCTCCCGGGCATGCCTAAGTTTGTGTATTTGTGAAAAGTGCCTCGACGACTGAGAAATAAGAAGCAGCGTGACGAATGAATGTGGATGCCGCCTGTCGTTTTTCACTTTTACTTTGTGCTTTCCTCGTCTTTGGCACCTTCTGCATCTGCCAATGCCGCAACTATTTTTTTCGCGCGTTTCCTCCTGACTCGGTTGGTGCTCTCGCCAACCTCAGTCATCCCCTGTGAGTCACGACGGTCACTTCCTTTCTCCCCGCCCTCGCCCCTCCCCTCCTTGTCTTCCTCGCTTTCAAGATCAGATCTCACAGGTCCAGCCTCCCTCTGCAAATACCCTTGTGCCTCTGTAAGAACACGCTGCAGGGCGGAAGACAAGATTTCATTGATTAGGTGGAGAATTGATATGCGTGCTTCCCCACCAGACACGTTTCATATTCCCTGAAGAGAGCGCTCCGACAACAAAAAGAATATCCTTTTTCCCGTCTCTTACTTACCTCTTTGGCGCCACCGTGCAAGGTACTTATGTATGGCAACACTAGTTTTTTGAAAAACGTTTTGTCGATGACATTTTGCGAGTACAAGTGCTTTAAAATCCAGACCTGTCGTTTTGTCTGGAACCGCCACTCCCCTCCTCGATCCTGTGCCCGGACGCAAAAGAATTGTTTTACATGATCTATGATGCGATGGTGCACATAAGCACTTTTTATAGAGTCCAAGATAGCGTGGATGAGATCGGTTACCATTACAGCTGTGTCTCACTGTCACCCACGACGTTGCCAAGCAACGAAACACGGAATTCTTTTTTTCAAACACCGCATTTAACAGCATATCCTTACCCGTAGAGCCCATCGCTGCAGATATTCTCTCGCAGCTAGCGCCCCTTTTTCTAGAAGATGCTTCTGTGTGGTGTATAGGTCGAGGGGAATGGAGCATGATGCGTCTGGTTACAAATGTACAGCTTTACACATTTTTATCGTCATCGCGCGGACTTCTCTTCGTAAAGCTCCCGACCGCCATAATTTTTTTCTCCTAACAAGCACGATTATGCTATACATTCCTAAACCTAATGGCGACGCGATATATCATACCTCTTCCTCAGATGAAATACTCTTTTTTGTCCTCTTTGGAGTGGTGTTGGCAGCCCGTGCTGCGGCTAGCTTACGCTTCTTCTTTCTCTTTCGTTTACCTCCTGAAAGGGCCTTTTCAGTAGCAGCAACAGGATTCAGATTGGTCGAAGGCATCCGCTTCCTAGCGCTAACGTGTATAGATAAGAGTGGGAGGTTTGTTCACCATTACCAGCTTTCTAATAAAGCCCAGCCCACTGGCTTTAAACCTCCACAGTATGAGCATCCAATACAAACACAGGACAAGTAAAAAGATACCAGGGCTCAGTGTACATTGGAACGTGGAAACCCGTCTTTCTATTCAACCATAGGTTCACTCGACAGGATTACCAAACTTCAACCGTGATCGTCACAGGCTCCTCCCCCTCTGACCCCCGCGTGTCCTGCGTGAAAAAAGAGCAGCAGGGCACAAAATCACTAATTGAAAACAACGAGGGTAAAAGGAAGCCCATTTTGGGATAAGTCTCTCTGTCGAATCATCCATAATTCCCTACAAGAGTTTCGATCGGAACTGGCCCATGGTAGAGAGAGAGCCACTCTCACACGATGGCCGGTACGGGCCCGAGATAGAAACGCAAAAAGGACGATGAGGACTCGACTGTGATTACCACATCAAATAATTCACTTTCTTTCACGCACATTGAAATGTTACTTCTGCACAAAATAGTATCGTCCTCCTCGATCGCCTACTCTACCGCCAGGAAATGGACTTTCGGTTCAGCAGCTCGCAAAAAGAAAGGTAGTTAATACATTGTCCCACGTGGGTGTCTATGTTTCTGTTTGAACGCACAGTCTGGCTCGCTATCCACATAAGAGCACATTTCCCTCGCCACCGCCCCCATGGGCTCCTACTCAAGACGATCACATCGCCATGTTGAAAGTGCCGGCGTCGTCCATTAAGGCCATGACATGCGCCATCACTCCCTTCGCCAAGCCTCCGTCCGTCTCCTCATTGATGTGGGACTGACAGTCCTTCACGACCCCGTCTCTCCCGGCCTCGTCGTCATCCGACGTCGCGCCACTCGGCCCCCCGCTTGGTGCCCTCGCCCCGCGCGTGGAATTTGCCGGGCGGCCAGGGAGACGCTTGCCCGGCCCTCCGTCGGGGCGGACGTGGTACCCGCCTTCCAGCACGCTGATCACCTTTCCGGATGTGCCCTCGGCCACGGCCACGAGCTCGCGGGTGATCCAGGCATAGTCCTCCTCAGTCAAGTAGTGGTAGTGGTCCTCCACGTGCCCGTCAAAGCTGTGCGAAGTGCGTTTGTACAAGGGAGAAATGATGAGAGAGCCAATGGAGAGGTCCAGGCACGAGCAACTTGGAGCAAAAGCGCGGAACTCCATGTGGGGTCCTTCGTCTAACGGGGTGTCTGTCGCACTTACCCCGCGGATATGAAGAGCAAGTCGGGCGCGAACGCCTTGAGTTTCGGAAGGAGCATGCTGCTGACCTTCTCCCGAAATTCCACGCTGGCCCGCTGGCAGTACTCCTTCACCTTTCGAGGACCCAGCATTTTGGCCTTCCCTGTGCCCGGCGCCGCCTGAGGGGGCCGGAGGGGCCGGAGCTCCACGTTCACGATGTTCGGGGCTGCCTGGTCGTTGTCCATCTCCCTGCCCGAGCAGGGGTAGAAGTGCGGCCCGTCCACCAGGTTGATGCTCCCGAAGAAGACACTGGCTGCATCCTCCTCCTCGCTCAGCCAGGGCTTGAAGAGCTGGTAGTGCTCGGGCGCCCAGGAGGCGGGCAGGGGCAGAAGGCGGCGACTCGGCTGCAGGGCCCTGACGATGTCCTCTGTGCCGTTCCCATGGTGGATGTCGAAGTCCACGATGGCGACGCGGGCGAAAGGCCCGTGCGGGGCCCGGCCGTAGGCCTGGCGGGCGTAAGCGGCCCCGATGGCCACGTTGTTGAGCAGGCAGAAGCCAGAGGAGGTCATAGAGGGGGCCTTCCAGAAGCAGTGGCTGGGCACGGCGCCGCGCGGACCCGCGTGATGACCTGGGGGCCGCGTGGCGACGAAAACGCGGCGGCGGCCAGCGGCAACTTGGTCCACGGCCTGTATCACGGCGCCGGCGGCGACGCAGGCCACCCGGAAGGAATCGTGGCAGACGCGCGTGTCGCTGTCCAGGAACTGGGAGACTGTCTCCTGCCCTCCATGCCCGCTCGGGGTACCTGCCCGCTCTTTCTTCTCGAACGCCTCCCCTCCTCGATCCGCGCGGCGGAGTCT